GTTTTATATCTATGAGTGTTTCCCTGAATGTAGATACTCTCATCATGTGCCTGCCTGGTACCCACAGAGGTCAGAAGATGACATCAGATCCTTTTGAACTTTAGTTACACATGGTTGGGAGCCACCATGTGGGGACTGGGAGCCGAACTCTGGTCCTCTGCTGAGCTGTCTCTGCAGCCCCTTAGTGTGTGGTTTTTATCTAAATACACATGATATGGCTTGCCAGAGAGTGAATAGGATGTGTTTACCTAATGCAGCTTCAAGGAAATTCAGTTACTACCCAGGGAAGCAGCTCCAAGAGATTTCTCTCAGTTCCATGATAGGTTGAACTGAGGCTGAGTTTTCTTCTGACCCTGAGTTTCATTGTCCCAAGTGTGTTTTGCCTGTAGCAGGAGATATTTTTTTATTCCTATTACAATACTGACTCAAGCTCCACAGCTATTGTCCCTCAAATACAGAGAATGGATGAGTAATAAGTGGTTCTGGATCAGGCTGGAGAGATGGTTCAGGGCTTAAGATCGCATATTATTCTTCCAGAGGATCTGAGTTTGAGTCCCAACACCCATATTAAGTGGCTCACAACCCTTTGTAAGTCTATCTCCAGGGGATCTGACTCCTCTGGAGTCCTTAGGCCCCCACATATATGTGGCATACATTCCCACATACAAATTAAAAAGATGTGTTTATCACTTCTCTGGTGGTCTAGATGAACCTCCTATCATGACTGGTTGGGACTTAGGTAGTGTCCCTGTGGGTTGGAATGATCTGAGGAGGTTTTAGAGGACTTCAGTTCCGGGCTCTGCCCTATCATAGTGTGTACTGGTTGTTCTCAGTTTCTTCCCTTGTAATCTATGCTTCCTGTATGGACTTTATGGGGGAAATATCCTGGAGCCCCTTCCATGATGTGTTGTGAGGAGACAGGTTTCAGCCAGTTTACAAAATTTAGGAAGCATTTCTTTAGAACTTGGTCTCTTTCTGCTCAAATCACTGAAAAGAATAGCCCCACTTTGGCTATGAAAGTCAGGTCAGTGGACATTCTAGTCTCAGTCACGGGGATTGAGACCCAGATGTAAAGAAAGTAGTCTCTCCCCACCTCACCCCACAGAGGCCAGGCTTGGCTAGCTGGATGCAAGCCAGATGTAGTGGTTGGGGATGGAGGATGAGTTGAAGAGAAAACAGCCTAGAAGTCAAGGCTAAGGATACTGTGCCGACAACCCTGGTTTGCTAGCCCCAGCTTCCCGACAGGAAGGAACAAGCTGGTATGAAAGCCTTGGCAGAAATAAAGATTCATGTGTGTGCCTTTGTCAGATTTAATGCATACGGTTTGACTTTGTTGTTTTAGTTCAAAGATTATTTACCAACCTAAAGAATGTTCTGAAAAACTGAAAATATTGATGGTGATTCCTGTAGTCTTTGTGCTTTTACAAGTTCTCTCAATGCTTGTAACAGTATGGATTGTTTAAACAAGAAACAAAAGTCAGCCTCCTCCTCTACAGGGTTCCCTGAGCCATGAGGAGAGCAAACTGATGGAGACATGCCATTTATGACGAGTATTCCAAGTTTTCTCACTCTCTGCACATTGTCCAGCTGTGGGTGTCTGCATTTACTTCCACTTTCTGCAGGAGGAAGCTTCTCTGACGATGGCTGAGCAAGGCACTGATCTATGAGCATAGCAGAATGTCTTTAGGGGCCATTTTGTTGCTATGTTCCTTTAGCAGAACAGTAGTGTTTTGTTTTCCCTTTGGTACTTGGCCTGTTTAGTCTCAGGTTCTTGTCCATCCAAGCAGTGTTGGAGATGGGTTCCACCTCATAGAGTGGCCTTAAGTACAATCAGACGCCAGTCAGACGTTGGTTGGTTACTCCCACAATCCTTGTGCCTCTACAGCTCAAGTGTATCTTGCATGTGGGTCATGATTGTAGATCACAGGACCTGTAGGGGGCTTGGTGTTTATCTTTCTTCTTTGGTAGAGTGCAGAGTACTTTCCAGGACCCTGAACACTAGTCAGTAGGAGTGAAGGCTCTAGGTACCAGTTTGACTTCTCCATATTCAATGAGAGGAGGCAGAAAGAGTGTAAGAGTCAGGAGGGAGGGAAGACACCAGGGAAACAAGGCCGTCTAAACGCAGCAGGGCAATGCACACATGAGCTCACAGGGGCTGTGGCAGCATGTACAGGACCTGCACAGGTCTAAGACAGATGGGGGCCCAGTGCTGAAGGAGGGAGTGGACACAGCCCCCCTCCCCCCATCCCTAACCCGGAAGTTATCTCTAGTTAATAACCATTTGCAAAGGAGATATTAGTTTTCTTCAGCAGAGTCTCACTGGGTATACAAATCACTCTTAAGACCTGGCCCTGTTCCCAGCATTAGATGGCCAACACAAAATGAACTCAATGGTATTTTCGGATGGTTTTGTTTGTTTAATGTCTGGGCATTTTTCTCACCCCACAGGTCTGTTGTTTATATATGTTGTGATTCCCAGTTTTATGTTTTTTATGGCACTTCTGTGCCTGCCAATGTATGTGTTTCTGCATCTATATGTGTTTGTTGCGTTTTTTCTTCAGTTCTTTGTTTTCAGATTATTTGATTAGTTTTTTTTCCTTTTTTCTTTAGAGGTGTGTTTTGTAATGAGAGAGAGCAAGAAAAGCTGTGGGTTTGGGTGGGTGGGGAGGTGGGGAGGAGCAGGGAGGAGCTGCAGACAGGAACTGCAATCAGAATATATTATATGAAAAAAATCTATTTTCAACAAGAAATAAAATAAAACCATATTCAAAGTTAAAATAAGAAAATCAAAATAAAAGGATAGCCTTAGAAATAAATATTATCAGTATTAAATATGCTATTTGTATCAATGGAATGTCTGACAAAAGACCTATGTTAGCAAGAAACATACAAACATAAATACAGAGGGAGGGACTGGTGATCATTTCCTTACACATGAGGGAAAGAGAAAGCAGAAACTCCTTCAATATTTTGATTTCCTCTCTTCTTTCTACCTCCCGCTCTGCCTTCCTCCCTCCCTCCTTCCTGCCCCCAACCAATAGGGCAGGCTAGTCTTCAATTTGTGATTCCCCAGCCTTGGTCTTCAAAGCACTGAGATCTTAGTTACTCTTCTATTGCCATGACAAAACACCTTGACCAAGGCAGCCTAAACAAGAAAGTGTGTAGCTTGGAGGCTCACGGTTCTACAGGCAGCAGGAAAGCAGCAGGCAGACATGATGCTGGAGCAGTAGCTGAGAGCTCACATCTGATCCAAAGCAGGAGGAAGAGAAAAGAGCACTAACTGGGACAGGCACGGGCTTTGAACTCTCAGTCTATCCCCAGTGACACACCTCCTAGTCCTTCCCAAACAGTTCCACCAACTGGCAACCAAGCGTTTGAGCCAATGGAGGCACATGTCCACTAGTGCTGTGCAAAAAGCCCCTAACACAATATATCTCCACATCACACATGTGTTTCTGGTTGGTGCTAGAAGCTGAGATTCTAGGTCATGTGTATTTAAAGTCACCGAGGTCTCATTTCTGTTGTGTCATCCTGTAGGTCTGCACACTGCTCACTAGTGTGTCATCCTATAGTGCTATACACTGCTCACTAGGGTCTGACACCCTGCAGCTCTGCACACTGCTCACTAGTGTGTCATCCTATAGTGCTATACACTGCTCACTAGGGTCTGACACCCTGCAGCTCTGCACACTGCTCACTAGTGTGTCATCCTATAGTGCTATACACTGCTCACTAGGGTCTGACACCCTGCAGCTCTGCACACTGCTCACTACCGTGTATTCCTGAATCTCTGCTCACTAGTGTGTGTTTCTTTCTGTAGCTCTCCACACTGCTCACTAGTGTGTGTCATCCTGTGACTCTGCACACTGTTCACTAAATGGAGGGTGCTATAAGAGGTAAAGAATAAGCAAACACGGATTCCGTCTGGCCTCAGAGGGCCCTCGAGAAGCCATGTGACTTTCCCAGGCTACGGGGCCCACATGCAAAGAGCTGAGGTGGGGCCTAAGGATGGATGAGAAATGTGTCCTGCTGCCATTGCCTGTAGGTAAAGCTCAAAGCTTAAAGTCTGTGTCGTAGTTTCCTTTCTGTTGCCTTGATAAACGTCACCACCGAAAGCAACTTGGGGAGGAGAGGGTTAATTTGGCTTACAGGTTATAGTTCATCATGGAGGGACACCTAGGCAGGAGCTCGAGGCAGGAACTTGGGGCAGGAACTGAAGCGGACCACAGAGACACAGGAACTGAAGCAGACCACAGAGAGACGGGAACGGAAGCGGACCACAGAGAGACGGGAACGGAAACGGACCACAGAGAGATGGGAACAGAAGCTGACCACAGAGAGACGGGAACAGAAGCGGGCCAATGACTACTGCCTCACTTGGCCCCTCCTCACCCCCTGGCTAGCACAGCTACATTTTTATGTAACCCAGGCCTGTCTGCTCAGGATGGCACTGTCCACAGTGGACTAGGCCCTCCTATATCAATTAGCAATTAAAACACCACACTGACATGCCCACAGCCCAATCTGATGGAGGCAATTCTTCAGTTGGGATTCCTTCTTCCCAAGTGTGTTGATTTGTGTTTCCAGGCTTGGCTTGTGTCAGGTTGACAACTAACCAGGTAGCCTGTGAACAAAATGCTGGCATTTTTGTCATTGTGGTGGGCATAAAAAGAATTGAGATCTGAGAATGAAATAAAAATTACTTAGTCTTTCTAGACTACCATCTGAGGCTTCCCTGGACTTTTGGGGGTGTGCTCTTCCCTTCAACAGAAGATGGCCTCAACACAGACAGTGTGTTCCTATAGATGCCTGCATTTTGTTTCTTCCAAGGGGATGAAATTCACTTACTGCTTCATGCTTTGGCAAGGGGAAGAACAGAAATGTAAGACATGGCCCATGAGACACAGCACTGTGTGCCACTGTTTACCTAGGGAAACACTCTTGGCCGTCAGCAAACCCACCCACATTCTCTGTCAAGCTCCAAACAGCACACAAACAAGTGCAAAATAGAAGTTTACTCTTAGTATTCTTTCCCCCTTATATAAACTTCCAGTATAAAAATGTCCTGGTCTTCATAAACATTTTTCAGTTTCACAACACAAATCTGACCCTTTTGTGTGGAGATGGGAGTTTGTGCAACTAAGCAAACGGCCCTCGATCAGAGCGGTCTCTTTTGTCTCTTTTTAACTCTCCTTGTCTGTGTTAAGTGAAACGAGAACTTACCCGCAATAGAAATACTGTTCTAAAACACTTGAGACTTATTACAGTTTGGGTGCCTGATTTTCCTCTGCTCCCTGGGTAACGTTAAGAAAAGCATCTAAGATCTCCGTTTTTCTGAGCTTAAGTAGAAGCTTAGTAGCAGTCGAAAGGGGACTGGCTCTAGCTCCCACAGCATGACTTCCGCTGGCCTGGCCATGTAAGGCATGAAAAACTGGTCTGGAGAACCAGGTGCAAGGTTATTATTCCAGCAGCCTGCAAAAGTTGTTGGAGGCATCACATCAGCAAGATGTTGATGGTTCATTTGCCGCTGAAAGGACAAGGGAAACGATGTTCATTCTGTGTCACAATGGCACACTGGAAGATGTTATGGATGTCCTGACCCTACGGACAGCGTGACTTGATGTAAAAGAAGGCCATGGTCATGGCTACATGTGGACAGTCACGGGTAGGCAGGCAGTGCTGGCTACCTGGAGATCCACCATATATCAGTCTACATAGATTCTCTTGTGCATGCCAGGCCTGGGCAGATGAAGAGGGGAGGCGTTCGGTGCAGTTCTCAGCTTGGTCAGTGGGTTGTAGAGCTGTCACCAGAATGCAGGGTCAACAGCCATTCCACAGTGTCCCTGGTGCTGAAAGGGTGGCTGCTGGCTCAGATGGAAACCGTCTCAGACGCCATCTTCCCCAAATTGTACCTTGTCTTAGGTAGTGCCCTCAGAGTTCCATGATGCAGAGCCACTATGGGGACACTGGCTTCATTATATTGTCCCCGAGGGCTATTCTGTTCAAAACCCCAAGTTTAAGTGAGGAGTCATCGGTCCACACAATGGAGGTGGATAAGCTTTTCTTTTTGACTTTGAAAATCGATTTCCTCCGATGCTTGTGCAGCAACTGTTTCAACTTGTCCTTAAAAAAGGAGGTGGTGAGAGTGTAGAGGATGGGGTTCAAGGCGCTGTTTACCGGAAGGAAAAAAACCACTATCCAGGAAGTGATTGTACCTGGAGAAGGAAATGGAGTATGAAAAGGAATAGAACGTGCTTCCTCCCTCTTTGTTCCCCAGGTGCAATCCCCTTCCCTAGCATTGCAACAGTGCGCCAGCTTCCACAGTCCCATCTCCTGATGGTCCCACAGATCACACCCACCTCCCCTCCCCTCCACATTAGTCGCTATATCCCAGACCCCAGCTCCAGCAGGCACTCCCTGCTAAACCACAGGCCATGCCTGACAGAAAACCAGGTAGGCTGCCTGTAGACCTTCTCCCCTCTTTCTGTCTATCCAGACCCAACCTCCCATCTCACCCCCCCCCACCCTCGCTTGGCAGCAGAGCATTTGTAGCAGCCTTCCCTGCCTGCCTTGCAAATATCATTTCCTGTGGACCCCACAGATCTTCCCCTTCTAACCTTCTTCCCCCCACTAGTCACTATATCCCAGACTTCAACTCTAGCAGGCATCACCTGCTAACCCAAAGGAAGCTCCTTCCAGGGAAACAAGTAGGCTGAAGGTAGACCCATACTTCCCTTTCTGCTCCCGAAGACCCCTCTCCCCTGGTCTCATCTCTAGCTCTCTAGAGGAAACCTGCTGTGGTCTCCCTTTCCTGTATGACCCCATCTCCAGCAGATCACAAAGACCTTCTCCTCCAACCTTCTTTCCCCCAACTCATCCTAGTATCCCAGTCCCCAACACCAGCAGGCATTCCTTGTGAACATATCAGGTGAGCAGGCCAGGAAAACAGGGAATACGCAACTATCACATTCCAAAAATCCAGAGGAGAAACTGAAACCAAGGAAAAAACACCTAAACAACAAACACAAATCCAGAAATTAGCACCTAGACCCCAGATGCCGAGATGCCATCAAAAAACAACAACAATAGCCAGGGTAAAATGTCTCCACCAGAGTTCAGCTAGCCTATCACAGCAGGCCCTGAATATTCCAACATACCTGAAGCACAAGAAACCAATCTTAAAATAAAGGAAATGAACAAATCCCTTAAAGAAATTCAGGAAAACACAAACCAACAGTTGTAAGGAAATAAATAAAACTGTTCAAAACCTGAAATTGGAAGTAGAACCAATAAAGAAAACCCAAACTGAGGTAATTCTGGAAATGAAAAATTTAGGAATTCAAACAGGAACTACAGAGGCAAGCTTCATCAACAGAATACAAGAGATGGAAGAGAAAATCTCAGGCATTGAAGATACAATAGAAGTTGATACATCAGTCCAAAAAGTGTTAAAGCTAAAAATTTCCTGATACAAAACATCCAGGAAATCTGGGACACCATGTAAAGACCAAAACCAAGAATAGTTACAGAGGAAGGAAAACAAACCCATCTCAAAGGCCCAGAAAATGTTTTCAGCAAGATCATAGAAGAAAATTCTCCTAACCTGAAGAAGGAGATGTCTATAAATAGACAAGAAACATACAGAACACCAAATTGATTCGACCATAAAAAAGTCCCCTCACCATATAATGATCAAAACACTAAATATACAGAACGAAGAAAGAATAGAGCTGCAAATAAAAGGTCAAGTAGTATATAAAGGCAGACTTATTAGAATTACACCTTCTCTATAGAGACCCTGAAAACCAGAAAGCCCTGTATACATGTACTGCAGACTTTAAGAGACCAGAGAAGCCAGACTAGATGGAAAAAATAAGATATTATATAACAAAGTCAAACTAATCTATCTTCAAATTCAGCCCTATAGAAAGTGCTAAAAAGAAAACCCCAACTGAAGGAGATTAACTACACTCGTGAAAACACAGGAAACAAATAATCTTACACCAGCAAAATCAAAAGAAGGAAAAACACACCCACCACCACCTCCCATACCACCACCACCACCACCAAAAAAAATAACAATAATTAACAATCATTGGTTAGTGATGCCTATCCATATCAATGATCTCAATAACAGAATGGATTAAAAAATAGGATCCATCATTCTGCTGCATCCAAGAAACATACCTTAACATTAAGGACAGACATCACCTCAGGATAAAGGATTGGAAAAAGATAGTCTAAGCAGATGGACCGAAAAAGTAAATTGGCTATCAAAATAGACTTCAAACAATAATGAATCAAAAGAGATAGGGAAGGGCACTCACTATACAATCATCAAAGGAAAAAATCTACCAACCTGACATTTCAATTCTTAACATCTATGCCCCAATTATAAGGGTACCCACTGTTTTAAAAAGAAACACTACTACAGTTTAAAACACATATTGACACTTACACACTGATAGTGGGAGACTTTGATATCCCACTCTCTCCAATGGACAGGTAATCCTGACAAAAACTCAGCAGAGAAATGCTGGAGATAGCAGATGTTATAAACTAAATGGACTTAACAGATATATACGGGACTTTTCACCCTAACACAAAAGAATATACCTTCTTTTCTGCACCTCATGGAACTTTCTACAAAATTGAACATATTCTTAGTCATAAAGCAATTATCAACAGATACAAGAAAATTGAAATAACTCCCTGCATCCTATCAGGACACCATGGACTTAAGTTAGATATCATCAATGACAGAAACAACAGAAAGCTTACAAATTCTTGGAAAACGAACAACTCTTTACTGAATGAAGAATGAATCTAGACAGAAATAAAAGAATTAAAGGTTTTCTAGAATTCAATGAAAATGAATGCACAGCATACCCCAACATATGGGACACAATGAAAGTGGTGGTAAGAATGTTCATAGCGCTATGCGCCTACATAAAGAGATCGGAGAAATCTCTCACCAGTGACCAAATAGCACACCTGAAAGCTCTACAACAGAAAGAAGTAAGCGTACAAAAAGGAGTGGACAGCAAGAAATAATCTAACTGAGGGCTCAAACCAATAAAATAGACATAAAGAAAACAATACAAAGAATCAATGAAACAGAGTTGATTCTTTGAGAAAATCAACAAGATAGACAAACCCTTATCCAAACTAATAGGCGTAAAGAATATCCAAATTAACAAAATCAGAAACGAAAAGGGGGACATAACAACAGACACCAAGGAAATCCAGAGAATCATAAAGATATACTTTAAAAACCTGTACTCCATCAAATTGGAAAATCTAAAAGAAATGGATAATTTTCTTAATAGGTACTATTTACCAAAGTTAAAACAAGATCAGTCAAACAATTTAAATATACCTATAGCTTCTAGTGAAATAGAAGCAGCCATTAAAATTCTCCCAACAAAACAACCTAACAACAACAAAATATCCCAACATCAACCAAAAAAAATGCTCCCCCAACAAAACCCCAAGGCCAGATGGTTTTAGCATAGAATTTTACCATACTACCAAAGAAGGGTTAATGCCAATACTCCTCAAATTATTCCACAAAATAAAGACAGAAGGAACATTGCCCAATTCATCTTATGAGACCATGGTTACCTTGATACCCAAACCACATAAAGACTCAACAAAGAAAGAGAATTATAGACCAATTTTCCTTATGAACACAGATGCAAAAATTACTCAATAATATATATACTTGAAAACTGAATACAAGAACACATAAAAAAGATCACCCATCATGATCAAGTAGGCTTCATCCCAGAGATGTAGGGATGGTTCAATATACAAAAATTAATAAATGTAATCCACCATATAAATAAACTGAAAGAAAAAAACACATATGATTATTTCATTAGCTGCATAAAAGGTCTTTCTTTGACAAAATCTAATTGCCTTTCATGATAAAAATACTGGAGAGATTAGAGATACAAAGGACATACCTAAACATAATAAAGTCAATTTACAGCAAGCCTATAGCAAACATCAAACTAAATGGAGAGAAACTCAAAGCAATTCCACTAAAATCAGAGACAAGACAAGACTATCCACTCTCTCCATATCTATTCAATACAGTACTTGGAATTTTTGCCAGAGCAGTAAGACAGCTGAAGGAGATCAAGGGCATACAATTGGAAGGGGAAGAAGTCAAATTATCTTTATGCAGATGATACATAAGTGACCCTAAAAATTCCACTGTGGAACTCTACAGCTAATAAACACTTTCAGAAAAGTGGCTGAAAAAAATCAGTAGTTTTTCTATAAACAAATGACAAATGAACTGAGAAAGAAATTATGGAGATGCCTTTCACAATAGCCTAAAAAATATAAAATATTTTGGGGATAACTGTAGCCAAGCAAGTGAAAAACTTGTGTGATTAAAAACTTCAAGTTTTTGAAGAAGATAACAGAAGACAGAAAGATCTCCTATGTTCTTGGACTGGTAGGATTAATGTAATAAGTATTCTCATTTTACAAAAGCAATCTACAAATTCAATGCAATCCACATCAAAATTCCAACACAATTTTCAATATCATATGGAAAAACAAAAAACCCAGGATAGCTAAAACAATCCTGAATAATGAAAGACGTTCTAGATGTTCCACCATTCCCAATTTCAAGTTGTGCTACAGAGCCACAGTAATAAAAACTGCATGGTATTGGCACAAAAACAGATATGTTGATCAATGGAATCAAGTTGAAGACCCAGACACAAATCCACACACCTCTGCACACCTGATTTTTGATGAAAAGCTAGAAATTAGACACATTAGAAAAAAGATGGCCTCTTCAACAAATGGTGCTGGTCAAACTGAATGTCTGCTGATGGGGGATGTCCTGTGTATATGTAAATAAAGCACTGTTGGCCAATAGGGAAGCAAGATAGGTGGGACTAGGAGTCTAGGAGGATTCTGGGAAATGTAGTGAAGAGAGTCGTCACCATTTGATCCTGGGGAAGAAAGGATGGGTCAGGATGCCATCCTCAGAAAGATAAGTCCTTATAGAAATATATATTAGTAATTATGGGTTAATAATTAATTCAGAGCTAGCTATTAAGAAGCCATAGCAAGCCGGGCAGTGGTGGTGCACGCCTTTAATCCCAGCACTCGGGAGGCAGAGGCAGGCGGATCTCTGTGAGTTCGAGGCCGTGCTGGACTGACAGCCTCCAAAACAATACAGAAAAACCCTGTCTCATAAAACAAAAACAAAAACAAAAAAGAAGCCACAGCAAACAGCCAACAGCTTCATAATTAATATAGTGTTTCATGTGTTATTTGGGGGCTAAAGCGGCAACAGGACCCAGGTGGCTGGTGGGAAGAATACACATTACAGTCTGCATGTAGAAGAATGCAAATAGTTCCATATTTCTCTCCCTGCACAACACTCAAGTCCAAGTGGATCAAAGGCCTCAACATAAACAAGATACACTGAACCTAATAGAAGAGAAAGCGGTGAATAGCCTTGAACACATTGGCACAGGAGATGACTTTCCAAACAGAGCATCAATAGCAAAGACACTAAGATCAACAATTAGTAAATGGGACTTCATGAAGCTGAAAAGCTTCTGTAAGGCAAAGGATACCATCATTCAAACAAATCAGCTGCCTACAGAATGGGAAAGTTTTTCACCAACTCCACATCCAATAGAGAACTAATATCCAAAATATAGAAAGAACTCAATAAACTAGACATCAAAACCCAAATAATCCAATGTTAAAAATGGAGAATAGATCAAAACAGAGAACTCTATGGAGCAATCTCAAATGTCTGAGAAATACTTAGAGAAGCATTTACCATCCTCAGTCATCAGGGAAATGCAAATCAAAATGACTTTGAGCTTCCATCTTATAATGTTCAGAACGGCTATGATTGAAAGTACAACTGACAGCTCATGCTGTTGAGGTTGTGGAACAAGGGGAACACGCCTCCATTGCTGGTGGCAGTGCAAACTTGTGTAGTCATTATGGAAACCAATATGGCGGTTTCTCAGAAAGTTGGAAATCAATCTACCTCAAGATCCAGCTATATCACTCTTGGGCGAGTACCCAAAAGATGCTGCATCCTACCAAAAAGGACACTTGTTCAGTCATATTCATTTCGGCTTTATTTGTATTAACCAGAAATTGGTAACCACCTACACATCTCTCAACAGAAGAATGGACAAAGAAAATGTAGCACATTTACATAATGGAGTATTACTCAGCAATTAATAAAAGCTACATCATGAAATTTACAGGAAAATAGATGCAACTAGAAAAAAATCATACTTGGTGAGTTAAACCAGACCCAGAAAGATAAATATGGCATGTGTTCACTTACATGGGGATATTAGCTATTAAGTGAATGACAACCTAACTATAATCAACAGACCCAGAGAGGTTAGGTAAAGATGAGGGATCTGGGTGCAGGGAGGGTCACAAGGATCTCCTTGGGGGGGGGGAATAGAATAGATTTTACGGGCAGACAGGGGGTGGGTGGGGATAGGGGGATTGCAGGGGGGATGAGATGAGGTGGAGGGAGGGAATGCAGAGAGACATGGCTGGAATTGGGAGGCATTTGGGGGATGGTGTGGAAACAGTGAAAACTACCTGGGATCTATGAAAGTGATCCCAATGAGGACTCCACCATAATGGGAGATGCAGAGTCTTAACTGGCTACCTCTTGTAGACAGGGCGGGCATCCAGTAGCAGGACTGGATTGCATTCAGTTGAGCTGTTTCTAACTGGGTCCCTCAGAGATCCCCAAACAAGCCAGGCGGTTGCTAAGACAAAAGGCTGCTCTCTATAAACTGATACTGAGTTCCCATTGCCAAGGACAACACTCACACAAACTTACTGAACATGGAGAAGCTAAGCTGGTGCCTACATGCAGCGTGCTCACCAGCTCCCCCTACACACAATAGTCTCTTTGGTAAGGAAAGGTACTTTGCAAGGTACGGAAGGAGAAGCATAGACACCAACCTGGCCACAAAACCTTTGACCTGCAATCTGTCCTACCTGCAAAATACACTAGAGCAATGGTGGCACAGAACTTATGGGAGTAGCCAACCAGCGTCTGATTTGAGGCCCACTCCACGAGAGGGAACCCATACCTGACACTGCTTGGATAAGTAAGAACCAGAGGCTAGACATCCCACAGACCTAGGGTAAAACCAAACATATTGGTAAAAAACAAACAAAAAAAAATGAAAGAATGAAAGGAAAGGAATAGAAAGTGAAATTGTTTTTGCAGTGTTGGAGACAGAGTCCAGGGCATCATGCATGCCAGGCAAGTTGAGGGTATATCCATAGGCTGAGGGTACGTACTTAAATAGGCATAAAATTCCCATATCACATTGCAACTGATGCTGTATACATGGATGCTGCCTAGTATATTTAAGGAGTTATGGACTCAAGGTTTTATTTCTTGTGTTTTTGAGTTTCATTGACTAAATTTGGACTATTGTAAGACAAAACAAGAGTAAATTCTCTGAAAGTATTTTGCAAACTATTTCTATTCTTATTGCCATAAAATTTTAAGCTTTATTACAATAAAAACCTCACAAATTAAAAAAAATCACACACTGAAATGAACGAGACCTGAAATCTGTACATCTCAATGAACTTCTCAATGAAAGTTAGAGTAACGTTTCTGGACCCATAGAGCTTTGCAATGGATTTTATACTTTCAGCATTAAACATATTTTATGCACTTTCCACAATCACAGATGAAAATTCCATGTGCCGAAGTGCCAGGGCCCCTGAATGTGACTAGGTTTGGAGACGGCCTTTCAGGAAGTAAGCAAATTCAGGTGAGGATTGCAGTGTGGGCCCTGTTCCCTGTATCTGGGGACACACAAGGAGGGACCCTAGGATAAGGACACAGAGGGCTGCACAGGTGGAGACACAGCAAAAAGGTGACTGCATTTAAGGCAGCCATCTTTAAGACAATATGAGAGGCCTTGGGAAAACAAAACCTGGAGATACTTTAATCTTGGCTAGCCTAGACCAGCAAAGTCTCCCATGTGCTCAGCCCTGACCTTCCCTGGTCCTCAACTCCACATTTTACATGACTTGATGGACAGGCATGCTTGGTGTGAAGAATAAGCCAGAGGCTACTGTGCCTTGTGTGCTACTTTACAGTGGGCATCTGTAAAGACCTCACATAACTGCACAGGCCTAAGGAAAAAGCTCCTCATAGCCCCAGGGCTTTGCATGTGCTGGAATCCTGGCTGTCACAATGACTAAGATGTAGTTCCCACCCTGAGCAGTTCTTCAGGTGGACATGCATACAGGCTGTGAGCTTAAGATAATCCCAAGTTCTATTTAAGAATGAGGAGAAATCTCTGGGTGACTCCCAGCAGCTGTAATCTTAGAAAGGACTTAAGGGAAAATCCAAACCAATGAAATGCAATTTTCTTAGAGAATTGGATTGTGTGCTGCGCTGGGGTGTTTCCATGAGTCATGTAGCATTTCAAAGCTTGATATGATGTTTCATGGTGAGGACTACAGGACAGAGCCGGTGGTTCTATCTGGGTGGGAGCATCTGAATTGTGGGGGAATTGGGCAGAATACTTTTGTGTGTGCTTTAGTCCCCAGGAATTAATCTAGAGGTCCCAGTGGAACCAGGAAATCTATGTATCCATCTGTCTATCTATGTATATGTCTAAGTATGTGTCTATGTATGTATGTATCTAAGTATGTGCTTATGTATGTGCTTATGTATGTGTGTATGTATATATCTATCATCTATCTATATATCATCTATCTATCTACCCATCCATCATCTGTCCATCTTCTATCAATCATCTATATATCTCTGTTTATCCATCTATCTTCTGTCTATCAATCATCTATCTGTCTGCCTGTCTATCTGTCTATCTTTCATATCTTGACTAAGAGCCACTAGCCAGCTCAGGTAGAAGCAAGGTATTTAGGCTGATATTTTTCTCTTGCTTTAATTTTTTATTCTTCCCCACTGGACTGCACCACTGTGCACTGCAATATTAATTATAAACCACTGATGTGGGAGTGATAATTCTTTGTATTGACACCACAGGTACTTATGGAGAATTTGCCACATGGAAGGCAGTCTCCCAGACTCTGGCCTTGTCAAACAAAGGGTCTAAGAAAGCACAATATACCTTGGAATGAGAAAAGGGACTCACCTGGTACCTCCACTTGAAGGAGAGACAGGATTTTAACGACAAACACAGGGATCCAGCAGATGGCATCTGAGAACACAATAAAGAAGAACCGGTTTGCAACAGCCACCTCCTTCCCAATGTGGTTCCTCACTTCTGCAGTCTGAAGGGATGTTTTCTGAATGGAGCAGAACATGGCGACATAGGAAAACACGATGATGAGGAAAGCCAGCAAGTTCACACCTGTCAGGAAGAGCACAGCAAGTTCACACCTGTCAGGAAGAGCACAGCAAGTTCACACCTGCCAGGAACAGAACAGCAAGTTCACACCTGTCAGGAAGAGCACAGCAAGTTCACACCTGTCAGGAAGAGCACAGCAAGTTCACACCTGTCAGGAACAGAACAGCAAGTTCACACCTGTCAGGAACAGAACAGCAAGTTCACACCTGCCAGGAACAGAACAGCAAGTTCACACCTGTCAGGAAGAGCACAGCAAGTTCACACCTGTCGGGAAGAGCACAGCAAGTTCACACCTGTCAGGAACAGAACAGCAAGTTCACACCTGTCAGGAACAGAACAGCAAGTTCACACCTGCCAGGAACAGAACAGCAAGTTCACACCTGTCAGGAAGAGCACAGCAAGTTCACACCTGTCGGGAAGAGCACAGCAAGTTCACACCTGTCGGGAAGAGCACAGCAAGTTCACACCTGTCGGGAAAAGCACAGCAAGCTCACACCTGTCGGGATGAGTACAGCAAGTTCACACCTGTCGGGAAGAGCACAGCAAGCTCACACCTGTCGGGAAGAGCACAGCAAGCTCACACCTGTCAGGAAGAGCACAGCAAGTTCACACCTGTCAGGAAGAGCACAGCAAGTTCACACCTGTCAGGAACAGAACAGCAAGTTCACACCTGTCAGGAAGAGCACAGCAAGCTCACACCTGTCAGGAAGAGCACAGCAAGCTCACACCTGTCAGGAAGAGTACAGCAAGCTCACACCCGTCAGGAAGAGCACAGCAAGTTCACACCTGTCAGGAACAGAACAGCAAGTTCACACCTGTCAGGAACAGAACAGCAAGTTCACACCTGTCAGGAACAGAACAGCAAGTTCACACCTGTCAGGAAGAGCACAGAAAGCTCACACCTGTCAGGAAGAGCACAGCAAGTTCACACCTGTCAGGAAGAGCACAGCAAGCTCACACCTGTCGGGAAGAGCACAGCAAGTTCACACCCGTCAGGAAGAGCACAGCAAGTTCACACCTGTCGGGAAGAGTACAGCAAGCTCACACCTGTCGGGAAGAGCACAGCAAGCTCACACCTGTCAGGAAGAGCACAGCAAGCTCACTCCTGTCAGGAAGAGTACAGCAAGCTCACACCCGTCAGGAAGAGCACAGCAAGTTCACACCTGTCAGGAACAGAACAGCAAGTTCACACCTGTCAGGAACAGAACAGCAAGTTCACACCTGTCAGGAAGAGCACAGAAAGCTCACACCTGTCAGGAAGAGCACAGCAAGTTCACACCTGTCAGGAAGAGCACAGAAAGCTCACACCTGTCAGGAAGAGCACAGCAAGTTCACACCTGTCAGGAAGAGCACAGCAAGCTCACACCTGTCGGGAAGAGCACAGCAAGTTCACACCCGTCAGGAAGAGCACAGCAAGTTCACACCTGTCGGGAAGAGTACAGCAAGCTCACACCTGTCGGGAAGAGCACAGCAAGCTCACACCTGTCAGGAAGAGCACAGCAAGCTCACTCCTGTCAGGAAGAGTACAGCAAGCTCACACCCGTCAGGAAGAGCACAGCAAGTTCACACCTGTCAGGAACAGAACAGCAAGTTCACACCTGTCAGGAACAGAACAGCAAGTTCACACCTGTCAGGAAGAGCACAGAAAGCTCACACCTGTCAGGAAGAGCACAGCAAGTTCACACCTGTCAGGAAGAGCACACTAGTTTTACATCTCAGGCAGGAAGTCAGCATCAGCTACATGGCTGTTACCATGGTGTCTAGCACTGGGGTTTCCCAGAAACACCTTCTCCTGTGTGCTCAGAGGTGTGGAGCAGCTGAACTCTCCAAGTTGAGGAAATAAAATCAAGAATTAGGTTTTGATTAGCCCTAAAAAGGAATTTCAAAGGTATAAGTTCTTTTTTTGTTTGTTTGTTTGTTTTTGTTTTTTTAGAGACAGGGTTTCTTTGTGGCTTTGGAGCCTGTCCTGAAACTCTCTCTGTAGACCAGGCTGGCCTCAAACTCACAGAGATCCATCTGCCTCTGCCTCCTGAGTGCTGGGATTAAAGGTGTGTGCCACCAACACTTAGACTTGGAAATTCAGATCTGGAATACCATGAAGCAAGATTGCCCCCCCTCTCTGTCTCTGTCTCTCTGTTTCTCTCTCTCCTGAAACAAGGTCACACTATGCAGTCCTAGGTGGCCTTGAACTCACGACATCTGCTTGTCTCTGCTTCCTGAATGCTGTAAAGGAATGCACCACTGCAACTGGCAAGACTGCTCTTCTAGAGCACAAAACACACTCCCATGTTCTCTCTCTCTCTCTCTCTCTCTCTCTCTCTCTCTCTCTCTCTCTCTCTCTCTCTCTCTCTCTCTCTCTCTCACACACACACACACACACACACACACGTTTTTTTTTAGTTCCTAGAACATCAACCCTTAAGGTATTGCTGTAATTATAGTGTATGTCTCAAAAAGTAGATAACCATCTTAGTTCCTTAGTTTATACATATGAATAAAAGAATCTTAGAATTTGTCAGAAATTTAATATAACTGCCTTAGAAGCATTATTTTTTTATGTTTTGGCCCCTACAATAAATGTAGCACATAATGTAAAACTGCATTTTTGTTTACTTGTGCTTAGATTGCTTATAATAATTTGAAATATTGTGGTTCAGATCCCTTTAAATGCAACTTAGTAAAGAAATAAAGATGTTAAAAATACAATTAAATGAATCACTCTTTTGGGGCCAAATAGTTTCACAGATATCTCCCATAACATCCATTTCTTGTTCCTTTAGCTTGCTTTATTCTTGATGTAATAAAAAGAAAATTCAAAACAGTGATTATCAAATTCTTTCTAATAAGCATAAAATTTGCATATGTTTCCAGAACTGGTAAAAAACATTCTTAATCTGAATTGAGACTGTGTGGAAGACTGGTAATGGCAGGGACCATGGTTTAAATTCAAGGCTATTTTTATCCGAAGCACATCCTAGTCCATGGACTCTTACTACATTGTGGTACAATAGAATTTTATAACCTGGTTTATCTGAGGCCTTTCATCGGAAAGTTTAGCTTGGCATAAAATACAACGATTCTGTGGCAGGTGCTTAACCCATTTTAGTCACGTCTCAGCCGTCGCTGTAAAATATAGCCACCCTCAACTCAACTGGGCCTGGCCCTTGGCTTTGGGTCTCTGAACCCACGGTCCTTTCCTAGTACACAGCTCCCACTCCCACCGTCCTCTGTCTTCGCTTGGCTCTGCCTCCTCATCCCTGGGGCTTCATTTCTCTTTCAAAGCCTTCCCTGGTCCTCAGATGTGGGGCCCCTAGGATATCCTGTACTCTTTCTTCACCCGGGGTGCTATGAGGATGCATCTGAGGGTCTGTATCCCGCTTTCTATTCTCTAATGTCTGTGAAAGGGGGGGTTGTATCTCATAGAAGATACACAGTAAATCACTGGCCCCGTGAGTAGGCTGTAGTGGGCATGGGCATGTGGTGTGAGTCAACTGCGGTGGGCATGGGCTTGTGGTGTGAGTGAACCGCGGTGGGCATGGGCTTGTGGTGTGAGTGGACTGCGGTGGGCATGGGCATGTGTTTACACATATATGAAGGTCTCTGTGATGCTCACCTATGCTAGGAGCTGTAAGAAGAGACCCAGGAAAAAGCACAGTCTACAGTATCCTGGAAGGGACGTACTTATGAATATATGTCTGAGGATAATTACCAAAATGGTGTAAATAAAGAGTTTGTTTTTTTAGAAAAGGAGGACTAGATGGAGACATGGGAACAGAGGTCAGGGTAGCCCCAGGATGAGTTTTAAGTGGCCCATTTGAATTTGAACTTGTAGTTTGGGGCATTGATGGTTTCAGATGAGAGGGAAACAGTTGTTTTCATAGCCAGGGCAGTTATGACAGGGCTGGCAAACAGATGTACGTGAGGAGGGGACACTGTGACATCACAGGCAGTGGGAGGCGGAAGAATACAGCTCAGAGGCAGAGGCAAGGTTTCACACTAGGGCGACAGCACACAGGCAGAGGAAAATGATTTTTAAAAGAGCATCGGCTGTGGGAACAACCGTCATTCCAAGTAAGACGTGTTACACAATAATAATAAAGAGCCTAATGTCAAGGTCTAAGTCTGCCATTCGTTTGTCACAGAAAATATAGTATCATTGTTTCTAAGGGGAAAAAAATCAGGGAATTAAGAAAGCTGAAAAGAATTTGTACTGAGTGGTCTCAAGAGCTGTGCTTACAAAAGGCAATAAATCTGTGGGCGTTTAGACAGCCTGCTTGTGTGTTTCTTTTTTAAAATATTAAAATTCTAGAATTTTATTAATATTTACTTAAATAGCAACTAAATTGTCTAAAATTTTTAAGGAGTCTGAGTAATTTGGTAGGGTTTCAGGACTGAACACTTCCTTAGAACTTTTCCAGGCCACACTCACTATGAATGAAAAGAAAAGAAAAAAAATGCAGGTGTGATTTTAAAAAAAGATCCTGAGAGTCCAGTCTTTGTTTTCCACCCTAAATCTCGGTATTAAAATACTTAATAAAAAGCATCTATAAAATGCGTGTGAAGAACTCTGCTTTCTGAATGGACAGATTTATTTCTGATGATCTGTGTCATTTCTAGAAAGATGGTGGTGTCTCTTCTGGGAAACAAAAAATAAAATTTACCTAGGAAGATCCCAAGGGAGTACCCTCTACTTCCAAAATCTTCCGCTTGGTCGTAATGAAGAGGGAAGCAGACTCCATTTTTCCCATAAAAGTTGCCAAAATAATCCTCGCTGGTGAAGGGAATGGCTGCTATGAGGAACCCTAAGCCCCAGATGGCGGCAAGCGCCACCGCAGTCTGGCGCTTGCCCAGGCGCAGGTTGCTGAAAGGGAATACGATGACCAGGAACTTCTCCAGGGTCAGGAAGGTCAGCAGCAGCACGGAGACCTCCGTGGACAGCGTGGCCAGGAAGCCCAGGAGGCGGCAGGGTACACTCTCCATCCACAGCAGCGCGTACTTCTGATATTGCCCTCGGTACTTCATGTCGAAAACCCCCACGAAGAACAGATACACCCCCATCAGGCAGTCGGCACCTGCGGGAAGCCAAGCAGCCATGGCAGTTGTGTTCAGCATCAATCCTTTTATTTTTTCCTAGATTCTTCTTCCTGTATTAAATGAACCGATGTAACTACCTACTAGACTACCAACCAGCCAATGGGTTCAATTTGTTTTCTACTTAAAAGGGCAAAAAAGGTAAGATTTTCTGAGGGTTAGTACTTAAATGAAAAGTATATTACTTGTTTAGTTAGTAAAATATTCTTGACTAACTAGCCCTCCTTTCCCTGACAGTGGAGGTGGGTGAGAATCTGAGCTTGCTAAGCACATGGGCTCATGTAATTGAAATTAATAATAATTAAATTCATAATAATAAAACTTTAAAAAGTTAGTTTACAAATCTCAAAACTTATTCCATTTCCCATCCCCCAACTCATTAACCTGTGATTTCATTTCTAAGATGTGATTCCCAGGGGTGTGTTCCATGCTAAGAACCTGTGACTTAGAGTCACAAAGACCAATCCATTCATATCTAGAAAATATTTACCCACCAAAGCCAATTTGGATTGAAAGATAGTTGTCAAATATACAATCCTGTGTGTGTGTGTGTGTATGTATATGTGTATATACACATACATACTATATATATATACATATCAGCTGATGGAAAGGCAATCTATATATACAAGAAGCATACTTACAACAAAGGATTTTGATGGACATAGCATGAGTGGTATTCTCGGCCTTAATAAGAGATCTCACGGCAATGACAAGGAAATTCCCAACGCTGGTAATGAAAGCTATAACCCAGACAGACACTCTGAGGATACTGTTAGCCAAGAGGTCCTCAGATGAAGAAATACCATCAGTCGAGGGCATACAGATTCGGACATGGGGAACATAGGAGCAGTACCGAAAGGTTTTCAAATAACTGAAGTCAAAAGGAGAAAAAGATGACAGTCATTGGCAGCAGTGATTGAGGGGTTCCTATTGGGCCTACAGGTGGGAAGTAGGGGTTGGTGCTTTGCTAATTTATTATTGAGAAGTATTATTATTCTTATGTAATCTGTTAGCCTAGGTGGTGCTGTTCAAATGGCTAGCACCATAGGGACAGAGACTTCAGAAGGGTGTGACTGTGTCTGCAGAGACTCAAAGGTAGGGGGACTATAGAGATCTGAGGTCACAGTGCTCTACCGCCGTCCCCACCATATAGGATGTGGTATTCTGTTCTCACTGGGTATTCTACAGAGCAGACCACTGCCAGGAAATTAGTCTCTAACCAACATCCCAGGCTTCCATTTTAAGGAACCTACAACTCACAAAAATATTCTCAACAAACACTGAGTATCTAGCCTTCTCCTTGCACTGGCAAGAGGGGAGAGTCTGAGACTAGGAAAATCAAGTCTTTCTGAAGCTGGGAGAAGCAGTCACCTTAAACACAGGGCTCGTATCAGAGTTTCTTCAAGAGACTTAAATTCTAGAGGGCAATGAAGGGTTGCTTGTGGTCAATGCATTTGTAACGTGAACATGGGGAATCTTGAGGGTTAGAATGGGTCAGCTTACCCCAAACTTGTATATTTAGATTTTTCTCCCATAATACTCATTCTATTTGTACTTTTTGTTTGGTTGGTTTTTTTTGTGTTTTTACTGTGTCTTACATTACTCCAGCCTTCCCCCAACCCCCCAGCTGAATATACTTTTAGCATCTCCTAATCCAGTTTCCACACCAGCAACTAGATGACTCCATGGCACTATGTGGAGCCTTCTTCAGATTGCTTGCCTGGGTGTTCTTAGCTGCCTGGCCTCCTTCCACCCAAATGCAGAGGCCTTCTAACCCCACACAGGCCAGGCCCATCCCCTTCCAAGGTCCTTGATTCTGCTTTTCCTTTGGATGTATTCAGATTGTCTCAAGTGCCGCATGACTGACCATCCAGATCCCTCATCTATGTCTTCGTTTTGTGAATCCTCAGGGAATTTAATGGACATTCATTTATTGGCTCAATTACTGTGGTTTCAAAGCTAAATGAAAATTATCTGGTATATTCTTCCTCTTTCTCATCACTATGTCCTCAGCACCACTATGTACCTATTTCTTAGATCAGCCAAAGGACCATGGACTGTTGAGTGCTGGGTGTGTTGGAGACAAGTAAGGCAATCTCTAACCCACGTGCCATATATAGTCCAGCTTCCTAGCAGTTGGCATCCAATGAAAGGAATTTGACATCTGTTTTGATTGGTTTCTCCCTGGACTCCTGGCACCAACTTGACGCCCTTGGTTCTTTATGCTCATCGACTTCAGAGAGAGCCCTGTTGGTTCTCCCACTGTAACCAGGGGCAGGAGGGAGGGATGCGGTGAAGAGGTAAAGATGTTTCAACAATCAAAAGCCAAGGAAGGAAAGGAAAGCAGGCCATTTGGTAGGGATTTCCTAAGCTAGCTCAGAGATGTAGCTAAATTAGTTCAGTAATGTAGCTAAGCTAGCTCAGAGCTGAAGCTAAGCTGGTTCAGAGCTATAGCTAAGCTAGTTCAGAGATGATATAGCTAAGCTAGTTCAGAGATGATGTAGCTAAACTAGTTCAGAGATGATGTGACTAAGCTAGTTTAGAGATGTAGCTAAGCTAGTTCAGAGATGATGTAACTAAACTAGTTTAGAGATGTAGCTAAGCTAGTTTAGAAATGAAGCTAAACTAGTTTAGAGATGTAGCTAAGCTAGTTTAGAGATGTATCTAAGCTAGTTCAGAGATGATGTAGCTAAGGTAGCTCAGAAATGTAGCTAAGCTAGTTCATTTTTCATTTGTTGCTGGTCCCTCCGTGACCTTGACTTTGGCATTTAGAAATTCTGAAAAAGCTGGATTTACTCTAGTCTATGAAAAACTCACCTTCTGCCTGCAGCAAGTAAAGGACAGCCTCATTAATTATTTATCTAGCGGTGCCTCGGGAAGGGGAATGAGCAAAAGCACTGGGCTAGGCATTGGACTTTTAGGTACCACACCGGCACAGACAGAACCCAAGTGTTCTCCCCCCAAGAGCACCTGAATTCACATCAACTCTCTCATCGACTGGCTGCACCCAACTTGGGATCTTACATCCATTTCTCCCTAGTTTTGTGGATGACAATGGTTAATTTTTAAATTAGGAACATATAGATTATATACAGTTGATAAAGAAATGATCACGTTAAAAAAACACATATATGAACACAACTTACACAGTGCACTTTAGTCATATATATTCAAGTGACTTAACAAAACTACGATAAAGATTAATTACCTCCATTTTGCAGTGCACTTAATAAGAGAAACAACACCTGGAATCTACATGGGCCAAATCTTAGAGCAGCCGACTGCTCACTCATGTGAAGTGAGTTAATGTTTCCAGGTCTCCTGAGTACCCTTTAGCCAGTGACTTCATTTGATGTAATGTGTGGCACTCTGGTACCCTGATCTCCTATTGGGCCTCAATTGGATAAACATCGTGTTTCCAGAGAGAAGGGTCATTCATGTCGGCACATCATTATATTGAACTCTATTTGAACAGGGACCAAAGGTGACAAAATTAAAAAGTTCTCAATAGAAAAGAAGACGTTTGTTGCATACAAACACAGTTCAGTGATAATTAGACAGTTGGGCATGAGATGATTTGAATTAATTCATCATGCCTTATTTCCCTCCATCCCTTCAGACATACATACATGTGGGAAAGGTTCTTCATGGGCTGGAACATGCCTGTGCTTATGTTTGGAATCTCTATCCTTTCCAGGTCTCTGGAAAACATACACATTAGGTTTTACATGGTTAAACTTTGAAACCATTTCATTTGGGGGTAGTCACATCTTAAATTTGATCCTTTGAAATTTTATGTTAGTGAATCAAATGTGGATAACATTTCATAGTAGACATTCTGAGATAATTATCATTAACATCAAAATCTCCTGTAAGTTGGAGCTTCCGTGCCCCTTAAATTCAGGATGCAGTTCTAATACAACACTTTGGTATTATATATTGAAATGGTAAGGGGCCAGGAGAGTGTGGCTCAGTGGTCACATGCTTCCCCAATAAACACAAGGTTCTGGCATTCATCCCTAGAAGTGAGAAACAAACAAACGAACAAACAAACAATCCATAGATCAAATGGCAGTGGTGTGGGTATAACATTATTCTTCTACTTTGGAAGTTCAAAGGTTTTGCTCCATAGCTAGTTTTTCCAACTGGAAAACACCATTCAAGGGAGTCCACTGGAAATGATCATTTGATGTTCATTTCCCTCCGGTCTACGTGTCTTTAGAGTGGGACCAAAGAGGCAGTGGGGTGAGCAGTCAGCCAACTGTTGAGGACATCATTTTCTCAGACCCGGAGGGGGTGTCATTCATGCTATCCCCCCAAACTCTATAACACATCTTCAAAGGGCTCCAGCAGGCATCGGGGCATTCTAAACTTCTCTTGGAGCTTCTAAAGGTGTGGATCTCAGAGTCCTTCAGGACACTGGGGAGGAAGAGCCACAGACCTCTCTGGGAGTAAGCAAGGAATGGCACTGCAAAGCCATGAGAACCTTCCGCTTGCAGTGTGTGATTGGAAGCTGCCCTTAAATTCCAGGCGCTTATCCTGTTGGCTTTCGGCTGACCCGAATGAAGATTTTGCAGCACAGCTTTGAGTTTTTCTTGGCCAAGTGGCTCCTTCACAGAAGAGTCCACTTGCTCTCCAGACCAGACTTAAAACTTGAAGAGATATTGATACCACAGCATCATTGTGTGACCCCTCTGGGAAAACAGTCCAAGTTCCTTCTAAAAGCCCTTTGGCCCTGCTTCTTTCATCTGTTCTCAGCTTTTTCCTTCACTATCACCATTGACATTTTTGTGGACTGTGTGACTACTACAACGTAGAGGCCATTATATCCTGTGTGTAAGACAGTGCAATCTATGAGTTGATGTCCAGGGTGTCTTGGAAACAGAAATTAGACAATAAATAAATGAGAGCACAAAGAGAGGATTGTGGGCCTAACTCCTACTATTTTTGGAAAGGGATCAGACCGTGGCTGGATAGTCTCCCTTTTAGTGAACCTAGAACCTTATGCTCAACAAGTTCTCTGCCACTGAGATACATTCCCCAGAACTTTAAATATCTTCCTGCATAGGACTGATCTTCATGAGAGATTGAGTATTTGTAATGAGATATGATTGAACTGTCCACTTAGAGAAGAGTCATGTCCATAGCCTAAAATATGCTGCTAAGTTTAAAAAGAACAGGTTAGGGCTGGAAAGCTGACTCAGTGAGAAAGAGCACTGGCTGCTCTTCCAGAGGATCCGGGTACACTCCCGAGCCCCTGCACCGTGGCTCCCAGCAACCTCTAATTCCAGTTCCTGAAATCTGAAGCCCTTCCCTGACCTCCACAGTCACTGGCATGCATGTCCACATAGCTACCCTCACCATAAATAAATAATAAGTCTTTAGAAAAATCACAAAAATTTATTTATAGATTTTGGCTATTTATACTCTAGCTTCCTAAGGGCAAAGGTCATGCTGCCCATCAGCCAATGCTCACTAATATTGGCTAAAAATTTAAATATTTTGTTAGTTCCTAATAGAAATCTATTTAACAAAAAGAAATATGATGTTGACAATTAGTCTTTGGAAGGAGCCTGGAGTGTTGGAACAAACCAGTAACATTAGCCTGTGGGGTGGGGGAGGTTGGAGGCAGTAGGATTAGGAGTTCAAGGTCATTCTCAGCCTTGAACAGTAAGCTTGAGGCTAGCCTGGGCTATGGGAGATCCTGTCTCAGAAAATTAAGCAAACAAAGACACTACATCTCAAACAAGCAAAGTAAAACAAAGGCATCAGTCCTTGGAGTCAAAGAAAAAAATGTTTCAGTTGAAACAGAGGATATAATATGGTTTCTGGTCACAACAAATCAACTTTAGCCAACAGATGGTCACCCAGGAGAAAGGAATCACAAACTTTAAAGAATAATTGGCAGAAATCTTGGCACCTCAGAACCAACATTGGCCAAAGTTGTAAAATACCAAGCAACACCAATTGTTTGAATGTTCATCTCTGTGGGATTTTTTTTCATTTATGAAAAAGTAAAGGCCAATTTTGTTTTTGTTTTTCTAGACAGGGTTTCTCTGTAGCTTTTGAGCCTGCGCTGGAACTCGCTCTGTAGACGAGGCTGGCTTTGAATTCACAAAGATCCACGTGCCTCTGCCTCCCAAGTACTGGCATTAAAGGTGTGTGCCACCACTGCTTGGTGTAAAAACCAAATTTTAGCCTATCATTTCTCCAGGGAGAGGGGAAAGAGGAAAAGAAGGAAGTCTTAGAGAATTTATTTTTGCCAATTTTGTTTTTTCCAAAACAAAATTATTACATACTTAATTCTTTGTGAAGACCATGAGATTAGATTTTCCTACAAGTCCAGATCTCAGGATGCATATTCCAATTCAAACACAGATAGAAGTGGTGCAATTGAGTGGCCATAGCAGCAACTTTACTGTGAGTTAGCTCATAACTGACAGTGGACAGTGATGATCAGGATTTCCTAGGGACAGCTCATGAGAACTCCTGCTCCAGCATGAGAAACACCCACTTAGAATCAAATATGTGGTGAGGTTGTCAGCCTCCCTACAGTGATAACAGGCATTATCAGAGAGCTTTACTTACAGAGACTGAAGTTGTTTGAGACTTCCAAACTGGCTCTTGTGGACATACAGAAGAGGATTGGACGACAGGTTCCTTTTTTTTACCATTAGAGGAAGGGGAGGGAGGATAAGTATGGCTGTTATTATTATTTTGGAAGGTTAAGATGTTGCCAGTTAAATCTGATGACGAGGCAGGGAACTTACAGTTTTTGGAGAAGATGAAGGTCGCTGAAAATGTGGGCTGGTAGTTTTGTTATCATATTGCTAGACAGGTCCCTGTTGATGACAGTGAAAACCAAAATAAATAGCATGGGCATCTCTCCTCACAGTTAACATCTTCCCACTTGATGCAAGAAAAAATATGAATCCAGTTTGACCAGGCTGCGAACTTGTGACACAACAATACCTCGTGAGTCAGCTGAGTTTTGTTTTTCCATCACTGGCAGACCTTGTGGCATCATGCTCATCCAGTTCCAGCCTGGAATTTCCGCTCACCCCTTTGCCAATACATTCTGGCTCTGAGATGCCTGATTAGTTTCCTGTCTAAAGCACACTCAGTTCACATCTCCCACCCACATGTCTGTGATTCCCACATATTCCACAGATGCTTGCCCAGCTAATCTTTTTGAGGTCAAGACTTGCATCTCCTATTTATTTTGCATTCCATCTAAATGAGTGGTAGCCACTCACTATCTACTCAGACAATCGTGAGTGGATACGTTTGTATATCTTAAATTCGTCTTTTCCCTCTTGTGACTGGGGATTGAACCTAGGACCTGGTGCATGCTGGTCAAGTGCTCTGCCACTGGGCTGATCCCCTAGTGGTTTGACTACAAACAAATATAGCTCTGTCTTGCACACAAAATTGAATATATCTAATGGAACCCAATCTAGAGAGAGCCATAGGGTAGTGACTCTAGAGAACGTGGCAAAGAGCTCTGCTTCAGTTGTAGACACAGATCTGGGGACAGTCTAAAATATCTTTCTAAGTAGAGATGATTTTAAACCTGTGTACAATTGCCTGATTAAGTGTAAAGTAAAATGTCTTTTAGAAATGTGTTTTGCCTGTATATGTGCCTACCATGTAGGTGTAGTACTAATTACCACCAGGAGAGGACATCAGATCCCCCCAGGACTGGAATTTCAGATAGTCTTGGGCTGCCATGAGGGTGCTGGGAACCCAACACGGGTCCTCTGGAAGAGCAGCCAATGTTCTTAACTGCTGAGCCATCTCTACAGCCCCAAAGTATAAGATCTTAACTATTATTATTGAGAAGTTGATAGACATGGGGGAGCTAAATATAACTATAAAGGTTTTCCCCTAAGGAAGTTGACTTCTAAGTGAGAGCCAGGGTTATTATGGTATGGATGTGACCCACTGCACAGTGGTTCATGAAGGGGAGGCGTGGTCTTTCATGGTGAGGGGTGGTTAGGCCTCAATGTGTACACCTCAGAAAATACTGACGTGATTTAGTGAGATCCCAGGTAGTTTGTGTACAAGTTAAAAAAGAAATCTCACTGCAGACTATCTGTTTGACATCCAGTATTACCATGTGACCCCCTGTGCACACCCTTATTATGATACTTTCACCAGAAAATGGACAAATGCAGCTATATGATAAGACAAGGAAGAAACAGTAAGAAAAGATGAATGACAAGGGGTGGAGCCATCGGTCTTGGTGATGGAAATTAGGGAGTGGCTGACAAAGCCTAAGGATTGGATTCTTTGATTTAGTAAAGGAAGAATAACTTTTAACGTGATGTTAGAGAAACCCATGCTTGGGGTTGGGTATCATCTTCAGGAATCCACAAATGATTCAGCATGGGTAGAAGACAGAAAGGATGGGGGGAGATACAGAGGAAGTGCACTGGGAATGGCTCATGGACACAGGATGTGAGGGTCACACACAAGCTTCAAGGTCTTATTTAGTGCAGTTCAAGCATTGGAATCACTGAGGATGCATCTAGAGATGTCACATTCTGGGGACCCACCCTAATGCTGGCAACCTGCATTGAACCAGTCTCCTCTGTGATGAGGACACGGGAGAACACAGCAGGTGAAGGGACAGAATGACAGCTATCCAGAAGCAGGGTTAAGAGAGGGAGGTGAGGAGGGGTTGTCTACACAGGCCAGGTGAGAGTAAGCCCTCAGAAACTCTAGCAGGACTCAGGGACTGAGAAAAGTTAGCATCAGGGCAGAGCAGAAGGCTAGGAATCGGACTTCAGAGCTTGCTGTTTATGGGGAGCAATTATCATTAAGATGGAGAATTCTGAGGCAAGCCTAACTTCTGGTGGCCTGAGCAGAAACACCGGAGAGCTGAGGAATGCACACAGTGGATCCGGATCCCAGCCTGATGGGATTCAGCCCGCTCAGAAACTGCCAGCTTCGAAGTCCCATTCTCCACCTACAGGACAGGTGAGGCGAGGGTCTAGCCTACTCAGAGTTTGCTAAGATCCTGATACAAGGACAGCCTCCATCCAGGCAAGAGGAAAGCCACAGGGTATTGGACCTCCTCCCACCCACTGGAAAGGAACCGTGGTCACATACACACCAGGGGAGGAAGAGACTCCTTCTGCACCCACAGGAAGAAATGATGGGAAGGAGACAATACAAAAACACACCCACCAACAGAGAAACCAATATGACACCGCCAGAAACCAGAGAATCTATACCCGCAAGACCTGAACAGTCCATTACAGAAGAAGCAGATGAGAAAGACCTTAAAAACAACTTCATGAAAATGATAGAGGCACTCAAAAAAGATATGAGAAAATCCCTTAAAGACATGGGAGAGAAAAAAACCAAAAACTACAAGAAATGGAGGAAAAACAATCTAAAAATGTAACAATTTCAAGAAATGGAAGAAAAGACAAACCAAAAACTTCAACAAATGCAAGAAAGAGAGGAAAAGACAAAGCAAAAATTACAAGAAACTATTCAGATAGTGCAAGGTTTGAAAGCTGAAATAGAGACAATTAAAAAAAAACACAGTCTGAAGGAATGCTGGAAATAGAAAAGCTGGGAAAATGGTCAGGTACTACAGATATAAGCTTAACCAACAGAATACAAGAGATGGAAGACAGAATCTCAGGTGTTGAAGATACACTAGGGGAAACAGATTCATCAACCAAAGAAAATCTTAAGTCCAACAAATCCCTAACACAAAATATCCAGGAAATATAGGACACTGTGAAAAGACCAAACCTAAGAATAATAAGTATAGAAGAAGGTGAAGAAATCCACCTCAAAGGGGCAGAAAACATATTCAACAAAATCACAGAAGAAAACTTTCCAAACTTAAAGAAAGACATGCCAATAAAAGTACAAGAAGCCTACAGAACACCAAATAGAGTGGACCACAAAAGGAAATCCCCTCGCCACACAATAATAAAAACCCTGAACATACAGAATAAAGAAAGAATATTAAGAGCAGCAAAGGAAAAAAGCCAAGTAACATACAAAGGCAAACCTATCAGAATCACACCTGACTTCTCCATGGAAACTCTGAAAGCCAGAAGGTCCTGGATAGATATTCTACCAACACTAAGAGACCACGGATGCCAGCCCAGACTGTTATACCCAGCAAAGCGTTCAATCACTATAGATGGAGAAAACAAGATATTCCATTACACAACCAGATTTAAACAATATGTATTCACTAACCCAGCCCTACAGGAAGTTCTGGAAGGAAAACCCCAACCCAAGGGAGTTAACTACAACCAGAAAAACATAGGCAATAGATAATCCCACCTTACCAACAGCCAAAAGAAAAGAGGTAGAAATCCACATATAATTCTACCACCATCAACTATTCCAAAACAAACAAGAATGAGCAATCAATGTTCATTAATATTCCTCAATATTAGTGGTCTTAACTTGCCCATAAAGAGACACATGGTAACTGAATGGATTTGAAGTCAGAACCCATCCTTCTGCTGTATACAAGAAACACACCTCAGCCTCAAAGACAGTTATTACATCAGAGTTAAGGGTTAGGAAAATATTTTCCAATCAAATGAACCCAAGAAACAAGTGGGGGTAGCAATCCTAATATCTAACAAATTAGATTTAAAAATAAAATCAATCAAAGGAGATGAAGGAGGGCACTTAATACTCATCACAAGAGAAATCTACCAAGCTGAAGTTTCAATTTTGAACATCTTGCCCCAAATACAAAGGCACCCATGTTCATAAAAGAAACATTACTAAAACTCAAATCACATATAAAGCCCAACACACTTATAGTGGGAGACTTCAACACCACACTCTCACCTCTAGACAGGACTACCAGACAGAAACTTAACAAAGAGGCAAAGGAACTAATAGAAGCTATGACCAAATTGGAATTAATAGGCATCTATACAACATTCCACCCAAATAAAAAAGAATATACCTTCTTCTCAGTGCCACATGGAACCTTCTCAAAAATCGACCATATCAAGCCTCAACAGGAACAAAAAATTTGAATAACTTCATGCACCTTATCAGACCATCATGCGTTAAAATTAGAATTCAACAACACAAATTGCAGAAACCCTACAAATTCATGGAAGTTGAGTAATGAACAATTGCACCATTCCTGGGTCAATGAAGAAATATAAAAAAAAAGAAATTAAGGAATTCCTAGAATTCAATGAGAATGAGGACACAACGTACCCAACCTTTTGGGACACTTTGAAAGCAGTGCTACGAGGGAAGTTCATAGTACTAAGTGCCCACATGAAGAAACTGAAGAATAGTTACTCTAGAGAATTAACAGCACAACTGAAAGCTCTAGAACACAAAGAAGCAAACTCACCCAGGAAAAGTAGATGCCAGGAAATAATCAAATTGAGGGCTGAAATCAATAAAACAGAAACTAGGAAAACAATACAAAAAATCAATGTAACCAAGAGTTGGTTCTTTGAGAAAATCAACAAGATAGACAAACCTTTATCCAAACTTACCAAATGACAGAGTGTGAACATGCAAATTAAAAAAATCAGAAATGAAAAGGGGGGACATAACAACAGACACTGAGGAAATCCACAGAATCATCAGGTCATACTTTGAAAACCTGTACTTCACACAATTTAAAAATCTAAAGGAAATGAATACTTTTCTGGATAGATATCACTTGCCAAAATGAAATCAAGAACAGATAAGCAATTTAAATAGACCTATAACCCCTAAGGATATAGAAGCAGTCATCAAAAGTCTCCCAACCAAAAACAAGCCCAGGGCCAGATGGCCTCAGTGCAGAATTCTACCAAAGAACAGCTTATAACAATTCTTCTCAAAGTATTCCATGCAATAGAAGCAGAAGGGCCTTTGCCAAACTCTTTCTACGAGGCTTCCATAACCTTGATACCCGAGCCACACAAAGACACAACTAAGAAAGAGAACTTCAGACCAATATCCCTCATAAGCATTAATGCAAAAATACTCAATAAAATGCTGGCAAATCAGATCCAAGAACACATCAGAAAACTCATCCACCATGATCAAGTAGGCTTCATCCCAGGCATGCAGGGTTGGTTCAACATCTGAAAATCCATCAATGTAATCTACCATATAAGCAAGCTGAGAAACAAAAATCACATAATCATCTCACTGGATGCTGAAAAAGCCTTTGACAAAATCCAGCACCCCTTCATGATAAAGGTCTTGGAGAGATCTGGGATAACAGGCACTTACCTCAACATAATAAAAGCTATTTACAGCAAACCAACAGCCAACATCAAACTAACTGTACAGAAACTCAACGCACTTCCTCTAAGATCAAGGGGACACAAGGGCTGTCCCCTCTCTCCATACCTCTTCAATATTATATTTGACGTTCTAGCTAGAGCAATACTAAAACAAAAGGAGATCAAGGGGATACAAATTGGAAAGGAAGAGGTCAGACTTTCACTATTTGCAGATGATATGAAAGTTTCATAAGTGACCAGAACCTCTACCAGGGAACTCCTGCGGCTGATAAATACTTTCAGCAAAGTGGCAGGATGCAAGATCAACTCAAGAAAATCAGTAGCCCTACTATATACAGACGATAAAAGGACTGAGAAAGAAATCAGAGAAACATCACCCTTTACAATAGCCACAAACAATATAAAATACCTTGGGGTAATGCTAACAAAACAAGTGAAAGACCTGTATAGCAAGAACTTTGAGTCTTTAAAGAAAGAAACTAAAGACGACACCAGAAAGTGGAAAATCTCTCATGCTCTTGGAAAGGTAGGATCAACACAGTAAAAAATGCAATCTTACCAAAAGCAATATGCAGATTTAACACAATCCCCATTAAAATCCCAGCACAATTCTTCACTGACCTTGAAAGAACAATAATCAACTTTGTATGGAAAAACAAAAGACCCAGGATAGCCAAAAAACCTTATTCAACAAAGCAACATCTGGAGGCATTACCATCACTGACTTCAAGCTCTATTATAGAGCTGTAGTCCTGAAAACAACTTGGTATTGGCACAAAAATAGACAGGTAGGCCAATGGAATCGAATTGAACACCCTGATATTAACCCATACATGTATGAACATCTGGTTTTCGACAAAGAAGCTAAAAATATACAATGGAAAAAAGAAAGCATCTTTCACAAATGGTGGTGGCATAACTGGGTGCTGGCATGTAGAAGAATGTGGATAGATCCATGTTTATCGCCATGCACAAAACTTAAGTCCAAATGGACCAAAGTCCTCAACATAAATCCAGCCACACTGAACCTGTTAGAAGAGAAAGTGGGAGGCACCCTTGAATGAATTGGTACAGGAGACAGCTTCCTGAGCTCAACTCCATTAGCACAGATGGTAAGATTGACAATTAATAAACGCGACCTCCTGAAACTGAGAAGCTTCTGTAAGGCAAAGGACACAGTCAGTAAGACAAAAAGGCAACCCAGAGATTGGGAAAAGATATTCACTAACCCCACATCTGACAGAGGGCTGATCTCCAAAATTTACAAAGAACTCAAGAAGCAAGTCTCCAAAACACCAAAGGATCCAGTCAAAAGGTAGGGTACAGAACTAAATAGAGAATTCTCAGTAGAGGAGTCTAAAATGGCTGAGAGACACTTGAGAAAGTGCTCAACATCCCTAGCCATCTGGGAAATGCAAATCAAAACAACTCTGAGATATCATCTCAATCCTGTCAGAATGGCTAAAATAGAAAACTCCAATGGCAGTTTATGCTGGAGAGGATGTGGAGAAAGGGGAACACTCCTCCACTGCTGATAGGAATGCCAACTTGCACAGCCACTTTGGAAATCAGTGTGGAGATTCCTCAGGAAAATGGGAATCAGTCTACCACAAGACCCAGCAATTCCACTCTTAGGCATATATGCAAAAGATGTACACTCATACAATAAAGACATCTGCTCAACTATGTTCATCACAGCATTATTTGTAATAACCAGAACCTGGAAGTAACCAACATGACCTTCAGCTGAAGAGTGGATAGAGAAAATGTGGCACATTTACACAACGGAGTACTATTCAGCGGGAAAAAACAATGGAATCTTTAAATTTGCAGGCAAATGGATGGCACTAGAAGAAACCATCCTGAGTGAGGTAACCCAGTCGCAAAAAGAGAAACATGGTATGTACTCACTCATTTATGGATTTTGGACATGAATCAGGGGAGTGCCAGCCTACAATCCCACTGCCAGAGAGTATAGGAAACAGAACTTTCATCCAGCGACTAATGAAAGCAGAGGCAGATACCCACAGACAAACACTGAACTGAACTCCTGGAATCCAGTGTCAGAAAGAGAGAACTGATGGGCAAAGGAGTTAAGAGTGGGCTGGTTTAACCCACAGAAACAGTTGACCTGAACAAGGGGGAGCTCTTGGACTCCAGATTGATGGCTGTGTGGAAAGCATGGGATTGACCCAGACCCCCTGAATGTGGGTGTCAGTGAGGAGGCCTAGGTAATCTATGGGGCTTTGGGTAGTATTTATCCCTGGCATACAAATAGACTTTGAGTGTCTATGCCACAATATGGGATGCTCTCTCAGCCGGGACTCTTGGGGGAGGGCCTAGGCCCTGCCCTGGATGAAATGACAGTCACTGGAGATCCACCATGGAGGGCTTCACACTCCCTGGGGATCAGAGTGGAGATTGGGTGGGGGACTAGGGGACCTGGTGGGGAGAGTGGGGAAGAAGGGGAGGGAGAGGGTGCTGGGATTGACATGTGAAACAAGATTGTTTCTAACCTAAATAAAAAATAATAATAATAAAATAGGAATTCATATCTTGCTTAAAATTTTAAAACAATAAAAAACATTACTGTTACTGGTTTTAAAATGTGATAACATTTCTTCTAATATATAATGGAACTAAAATTGGCATGTTCTGGTGAGGACTTGGGAATGGAAAGCATTAGGAAAGAATGTTGATTCTATTTGATGTAATTCTTTTTAAATTAATTTGTATTTAAATAAAAAATAATCTTATTTTACACACCAATCCAAGTTTCCTCTCCCTCCTGTCCTCCTATTCCTCCCACCGACACCCCTTGGTGGTGTAATTCTTGAAGTACTGTTTGAATTTCAAGTCACAGGCTATGTTTACTTGTTTAATGTATTAACATCACTGAAAAAAAGATGGAGAATTCTAGCTAGAATGACCACATTTGCAGAAAATTGTTGTTTAGCATTCCACATGGTGGACTGCAGCCAAGTAAACCATGATTCCCATGGTGGCACAGTGTTTGCTGAGACCAAGAGAGTGCCCAGGAAGGACAGAGACAGGGTATGTACACACACACACACACACACACACACACACATGCATGCACACAAGTGCACATACACGCATGCGCACAGGCACACACATCCACCCCCCACCCATACACACACACACACACACACACACACACACACACACAGACACACACACACACACTGCACCATCCCAGGCACCTGCCTCCAGTTTCTGTAATCAACATCCACATTCCTTCACCAGACCTGACCAGAAGTGAGCCACCAGGAGAGTCACTGCTGAATGAACCATCTGCAGCAGTTTGTCACAAAATTTTTAGTTTAAGAATGGAGCATTGTCTATACAAGTCACTTTAGACATTTCTGAATTTTATTTATAATACTCATTAATTTTATGGAATTATTAAAATTATTTTTAAAACGCCTTTATTGGGTTATTATCCCCAGTCCTCCAGAGCCAAGAATAATACATGGAGGAAGAGTTGCTTAAGTCATCAATAGCCCTTTTAATGTCCCCATCATCAGTATGAGTTCTTTATCCTACTTGCCATCGTGTGTCATATCACAGACTTAATTTTAACTTCCAATGACTCAGTTATGCGGGCAGCAGTGAATTCATGGCTAAACAGACATGTTCTAAGTCTTAAAGCTATAAAACATGTGTTTGGACAGACAGAATTATGTGAGGTGTCTGCAAACTTTTCCATGAACCTGTCTTCATTGTAGACATGTCTCCTTGCCTCACCAGCTACAGAAGTCACGACCTCTTGGGAACACTGAGAGCAGTCATCCTTCTGGCCAGATTAAATCAACTAGCAACACAGCAATCATGTCTGGCTTCATCAAGCTTCCATTGAGAGTTAGAAAAATACTTTCCACGTGTTTGAGGCCATGGAATGCTCACCCAGTCCCTAACACACATAGACATGAAATTGAACCAAGGAAAATAGGCAGAGAAAGCAGGGCAGGCTGCCTCCCTGTCAGTCCCAGCATATGATTTTTAACTGCTCTCTAGTTCAGGATCATGTGGGGTTCCTTAATTGGTTTTTAATATCTAATAGTCTATAGACGTTTTCTTGTACCATTTGGAAAGACAGTTCCCTTGTCATCTTGATCAACCATATTCTTCCCAGTAGACCAGGCTACTTACAGTTCTCCTAAATTTTTTAATGAAGAAAATGTCATCTCTGGAACAAAACCAATTTGATTTCTAGGCAGAAACCTGCAAAACATGGTGAGAGTTAGCACTGGGAGTTTTAGTCTGAGGTCACAATCAGGTCCTGCTGGAAGACACCACTGCTCCAGGTGCCTTTAATAAACTTCCTTTGAGGACTCTACGGGAGCCATGGGCCAGGCAAGACCTTCTCCCTGGGAAAAGTCGTACCCATGTCCCTTAGGAAGTACTGTTGGGTGCAGTTCCGGACACCCAGTGTAGTCTGGTTTCTGATCATGTTTATAAGTGTCTCTTTTTAAATTCTGGCCCCCTATTTTTCCTCTAGTCATCCGTTTAATCAGCAAGCATTGCTGCATGCTTAATAGTTCCAGAAAACCCTCACATACACCAGTTGTGTTTCTTAGCTTGCCAATGCAAATGTGCCAATTGGCCAATTCATCCTCTTTCCCACCCCCAGGACAGGCACAAGCAGCAATCAGAATTGCCAGTCAGACGCTTTGGCCAATCAGAATGCATTAGATTGCTCCCACTTTCTTGATGGTGTGTGTGTGTGTGTGTGTGTGTGTGTGTGTGTGTGTGTGTGTGTGTAGACCTAGCTTGATGAGTCTAGCCACTTTCACGTAAAGAACTCCACTTCAAGGTAAATAAATATACCCCCTGCCCCCGCCCCCGCCCCTTCCACTATTGACCCTTCACATCAAGGCTGGAGACAAGCAGTACTTTGAAATCCATGGCCAGCATTTTCCTTGACTTTCCCCAGTTACAGGGCTCCTCTGGTACTGGAGTGCGGTGTACTTACAGCACAGTGAGCGAGTCGCACGTAAGGAAGGTGGAGTTCGTTAGGTACTTTATTTCATTGTTTGCCAGATCCCTGAAAGCCACGGAGGGAAAACACTTCAAATACCTTTGGATAAACCATCTGCTTAGGGGTGTTTTTAGTTGGTAGGATAGTTCTGAATTTTGTCTTTCCTTCATTCTATTTTTGTGTGTGTGTGCCATATATCTTTCCTAACTTTTGTGGTATTTCTATAATTAACGTTATGTTTCCTTCTTCTTTCCAACTGATACTAAAACTTAAAAACAAAAACACAAAAACCAGCCGGGTGTTGGTGGCGCACACCTTTAATCCCAGCACTCGGGAGGCAGAGGCAGGTGGATCTCTGTGAGTTCAAGGCCAGCCTGGTCTACAGAGTAAGTTCCAGGACAGCCTCCAAAGCCACAGAGAAACCCTGTCTTGAAAAAAAAAGAAAAAAACCCCACAAAAACCAAAACCAAAGGGAAGAGCAGCTAACTCTTTGGGATGGGAATTGTCCTCTGGCCTGGACACTATGTTGTTAACTCTAAGTGATGGCTCCAACGGATCTCAGTCATTTGAGTACTTGGTGCTGGTTGGTGGCTGTTTGAGGGTAATTAGGAGGTGTGGTCTTGCTGAAGGAAGTATGTCACTGGAGGTTGGGCACTGAGGTTTCAAAAGACTATTGCCACTTAGAATGTGTCCTCTACTTCCTGTTTGTGGTTCCAGATGTTAGTGCTGAGATGCTCTGGCCACCTGTTCCTGTCACCTAGACATTGGTGTCATAGACTCTAACCCTCTGGAAATGTAAGAACAGTATTTTAACACAGCAACATAAAAGACTAATATAGTATAGTATTGACCAGATTTATCAGCTACCATCGCCTGGGCTGGGACTGCCCTACTTGGCCAGGGGAGCATTCCTGCAGAGTTGCCATCATTATCTCCTATTCAACAGATGAGCCAGGCATCTGGGATAATCAAAAATTTAATTTATAGCTCTCCATACAGTGCTAGGTGGCAGAAGAACCTTTCCCAGTCAGATGTTTCTGAAGCCCAGACACTTATGCCTTTGTGGCAATTTGGACCATTGTCCCACTTCCCTCTCAGTGTCAGTCAATGTTTTGGTGAAGGGAAACTCAAGCCAAAGTTGTCTCGCACAGACTGTTTGCCAACCTTAGGACATAAATCTTGGTCTGTGATATCAAAGTGTAGGTCCTTTCTGCACTGCCCCGGGGATGCTAATGCCTAATATAGTGCAACTCTGAGTATGGCAGTGATCCAGTCCCAGAGCCAGGGGAACTTTCGAGATGTGCAGACTCCCAGGCTCCACACTACACCTGCTGCATCAGAAGTCGCTCTTAGCATGCCCTCCTCTTTGAGCTGCTCAGAAATGTCCTTAGAACTCCAAGGAATGCAGAGAGATTGCTTCCTGCCAGCCGGATCCTGGGCTCAGTCAGCATCCTACATGCTCTGGAAATGCCTTCTAGCACCCTCTGGAACTCTCACTTTTGGCAGTGTGGTGAGGCAGGGGTGAGAATAATTAGGCATTTTTACTAGTTTTCCTAATCTCTCTGTCTCTGTCTCTTTGGTCTCTCTGATCTCTGTCTCTCTCTCTCTCTGTCTCTCTCTCTCTGTCTTCCTCTGTCTCTCTGTCTCTGTGTGTGTGTGTTTCTCTCTCTCTCTCTCTCTCTCTCTCTCTCTCTGTGTGTGTGTGTGTGTGTGTGTGTGTGTGTGTGTGTGTGTGTGTGTTCTAACCATGTAGCTCTGGCTGGCCTAGAACACTATGCACACAGGTTGACCTTGAGCTCACAGAGATGGATCTTCCTCTGCCTCCTGAGTGTTAGGATTAAAGGCGTGTGCCACCATGCCTGGTCTCTGTCTTTTTGAGGCAGAGCTTTGCTGTGCAACCTGGTCAGGCCGTTGAGATCCATCTGCCCCCTCTCTCTTCTGTTTGTTTCCCAGTATGTAAATGAATGTGTTTAATTGCTAAGCATTTTTGAGACTAGGTCTCATGGATCCCAGGTTGGTCTCAGACTCTGTGGAACTGAGACTGGCCTTGAACTCCTGATCCCTCCTTTCCCACCCTACATGTAGTGTAACCAGAAGATCACACCCTTCTAGCATCCTCAGGTAGCCCATTGGCCTCGAACTCACTATGCAGCTGAGGAAGGCCTTGATCGTCTGATCCTCCTGCCTCCTGCCCCCTGAGTGATGGGATTTCAGGTGCGAGCTACAGAAACTTACGTCTAACTTTTGATGAGTTTTATTCTCATAGTTTTTAGAGCATCATTTCTGTTGTTTTTAATAGTAGCACACTTACATAAAACCTCTTTTGCTTACGGTCCTTTTAGTGAAAGTTATATAAATAAATACATAGAAATTAGAGTCAGCAAATCAAACCCACCCTCATTCAGAAGGTGAAGGCTGAGATACTGACGTTTATATCACTTTACAGGGGCACAGCCACCTAATTTGACCACAAGAAGAGCTATGGGGAGTGATGTATATTTTTGATGACTACGGCATCTTTGGGTTGCTGGAGGAAATCAGGAGGTGTATGCAGCAGGCAATCATGGGTGGTGGAAAAGTCATGAAACTCCTAAGCAGGTAGTAGTTATGAGGCAAGAAAGTGGGAGTGGCTTAGTGCTTCTATGTAAGGTTTTACTGATCACCTATCATGAGGTGGTTGTGGTATAAGTCCTGATAGGACATGCTAGACTCCTGTGAGGGACAGTGGAAACACATAGACATCTACTCAAGTTGACGTGTCTGGAGACAGCATCCGGAGGTGATATTTCAGTGGACATTGGAAGGGATGAAGAAGAAAGACTTTCCAGTCTTCGAGAAGTTCAAGAGCTTAGAGATGCGTTTAGAATTGTAATTGTGGTTTACTGTGTCTAGACAGAAGGGCATGTGGAGGAAAGTGGGGTTAAAACGAACAGATGGGCAAGGCGTGGACAGTGCAAGCCTTTTGTGTAGTACAATGTGGTGGCTTTGAAATGTCCCTTCTCAGTGTTGGTTGCTGTTTATCAGTTTGGTCAGACCAAGCAAGAGAAGACAGATCAAGGTAAAGCAGACTCATGGGACTAGGCCCAGTATTAAAAGAAAGAGTGGAAAATGTTGTGTTGGGGGATGAGTACAGGTTTGTGGGAGAAGGCTGAACATGACCGTACACCTTCGGGGACACTCTGAGGACATTTTTGTTTACTTTAGTTTTTAAAGATTCATTTATTTTTATGTAACATGTAGGACTGTCTTGCCTATATTCATGTCTGTGTAGCATATGGCCAGTGCCTGTGGAGTACAGAAGAGGGCACCAGATCCCCTGGAACTGGAGTTACAAGTGGTGTGAGCTGCTGTGTGGGTGCTGGGACTTGAACCAGTGACCTCTGGAAGAGCAGCCAGTGCTCTTAACCACTGAGATATCTCTTCAGTCCCCTTTCTTTTGGAGACAGAGAACTCACTACATAACCAGGCCTGGTTTAAATTCGCAATTCTCCTGCCTCAACCTCCCAAGTGCTGTGTTCCAGCTGTTCTCAAAAGGTATTTTATCATTTTATCTCACAAGGTTGTGGAAGGTCATTTTTATGCAAGGGTATACTATACTTTAAGCACATCCACCCAGTCCCCTGCTAACCTTCACTCCCCTCACAAGGTCTTTAAAAATAGGAAGCAACAATTAGCTTTTGGTTTGGGAGAGACATCTTAGATGAATTTGAAAGATACTTCTGAATTAAATTTATGGCTAACTTCCTTAATCCTAGCATGCAACAACCTCAGTCCCTAACAAATACTCACATCCAGTTGAGGTGAGGCATCTGGGCACACAGACGTTCAGGAAGGACCTCTAGCTGGTTATTCACCATGGATCTCCACACAGAGAAAATGGCAATTAGATACAAAATGATTATGCCACATCAAAGAGAGCAGTTTTGCTCCTCTACAATTTTGAAAATTGTCTGCTATAATTTATATCTAAGGATGAAGTCTTTGTATATAACTACGCCTTCTAAATAGTGCTTAAGTATATGTATGGCAAGGTCTAAGGGGCAGGTACTGTCAATCTATGGCTATGTGTGTATGCTGCACATTCTTAAACAAATCATTGCTCAGTTTAATTTTAAGAGGTAAAGCTAAAGCAAGTAGCAGACAGTAACTGTGAAGTTCATGATCGTTTTCCTTGTGTACTGCAAACTTGTAATGATTTCCAGCACCATTAGTTCTCAAAATGTTGTCTCAGGGATGCATTAATCATTTATAGCATTAAAAAAACTATACGGGAAAGCACATTAAATCTGAGATGTGACAGCAAGGGGAATTATTGAGAGCAAACAGTTCATGAACATGTTAAAAGACATGATTAATGTATATACTGCAGTCCCTTTGATAAATGGACCAGTCATGATGTTGGATCGCCCTGTAAGGAACGCGGAAACCCCCTGCCTGTCAATCGTCCTAGGATATTAACAGTGCAAGCACAATTCTGAAAATATCTCTGTCTGTAGGATCCAGATTTTGAATTTTCATTGCTTGTCTCTGGGGAAAAGCATATTTTCTCTATTGGAAATGGAGTTAGAGGCTGGAAAGATGGCTCAGTAGTTAAGAGCACTGGCTGCTTTTGCAGAGGACCCTGGTTCAGTTGCCAGCATCAATATGGCAGTACACAACCTCCTATAACTGTAGTTCTAAGGGTTTTCATGCCTTCTTCTGGGCACTGCATGCACATGGTGCACAGAAGACAGGCAGGCAAAAATACTCATATACACAAAAATAAAAAGGAACAACTCTTTAAAAAATGGAGCTGGAACTATGTTCCTATGAGATTCTATTATACTTCATTCAGTTTAACTAGGATGTCAAGAAATAAAAACAACTCTTGTTCAGCCACTGCCAATAGCAACATGACTTGGTGTTTTAGGAAATGATAGGAGATAAATAGCTTTGAGCAGGAATCTTAGGCCTTTGACTTAGCAACAGTAACTATGGCCTGAAGTTCAGCAAAGACGGGCTTGATGTTTTTGGTTTGAAGCACCTTCACAAAGGCTTCTGTTTCCTAGGCAGGGGTACCAGAAGAGAGATAGATACTTACAAGAAGAACAAGGAGTTTAATCCAGTAAAGGACCTCTGTGAGATGCTGGTGATTGGATTGTCATCTAAAATTCTGACAAGACACATCAAAATATTTCCAATGTTAGATATTCATGAAATAAACCCGTGGAAAATATAAAAGGGCCAGGAGAAACCAATGCCTGACTCACTCCTTTCTCATGGGGCATGGGTGTCTTTGCTCTCATTCTAGGAGGGAGGGGTTCTGTTTGCTCCAAGTTCCTGCAGCTCTTCTCCCAGCGCTTACCCAGCAGGAACTGATCTCTCTCTCTCTCTCTCTCTCTCTCTCTCTCTCTCTCTCTCTCTCTCTCTCTCTCTCTCTCTCTCTCTCTCTGGCTATGGCTACTGGTGGGTCCGCCATGCTCCTTTTTTAAAAAAGGACTCAAAGTTTAGGTAGGCAGGGGAAGAGGAGGTGGATCTGGGAGGAGCGAGAGGAGGGATGAATAAGATCAAGATACACTGTATGAAATTCACAAAGAATTAAAATCATAGATTTTTAGAAATAGAAAAATTAGCGCATGAAAAAAATGACCCATCTAGCCAGTCACTAAGGAAGTGCATTTCCTAATTTTTTCTAACTGATCTGTAAAGGCATTCAAATTGTTCATAGTAGTTCCTTAGAAATAACCCATTCTCGCCGGGCGTTGGTGGCGCACACCTTTAATCCCAGCACTCGGGAGGCAGAGGCAGGCGGATCTCTGTGAGTTCGAGGCCAGCCTGGTCTACAAAGTGAGTTCCAGGACAGCCTCCAAAGCTACAGAGAAACCCTGTCTCGAAAAACCAAAAAAAAGAAAAGAAAAAAAAAGAAATAACCCATTCTCCCTCTCATAGCAGCCATCAATTACCAACAGCTGCTCAGTGGGGTGGGGCTTCATGCCACCTCCCCCTTTCACTCTGGGATATTTTGCCTGGCTGGAGCTTGCCCAAGTTTTGCCCCCTCCCTCTCCTCAGTTTTCCTTGTTTCCTTCCTCCTTTCCTTTCAAGGGCTATGCACATGTTTTTGAGGACCAAGTGTGACAACATGTATAGAGCACCAACAGGTACTTGTGGCCCTTTAACAAATGCTGCCTTGTGCCTTTCAAAAAGAAGAAATGACAGTGTAAGTTCTTAGAAAGCCATATTTTAAAATTTTAGTTTTGTTTCATATGCCTAGTGCTCACAGAAGCTGTGTATCAAATGCCCTGGAGTTGGAGTTATTGACAGCTGTGAGCAACCATGTGGGTGCTGGAAACTGATCCTAGCTCCTCTGCAAGAGCAGTCAGTGCTCTTAACTGCTGAGCCAAGCCATTTTTTTTAGCCCTGAAATCATGATTTTTTTAAAATCTCGTAAGGTCTGTGCAAATGAACAAACTGACCTGAGCACATTTCCTGAGCACATTTGTAAGGAAGGGAACTCATGTCACTCAGTCAAGTCACGGTTTGAAACTGTGTTTAGAAGGCGAAGGGAAATAGGCACCTTTGAGACCTGGTGTCGCCTTGCATTCTCAGAAGTCCGTGGTATGTAGGATCAGGAGCAGGGGGTTACAGGAGCACCTAGCATGTGACAGGAGCTCTGCCCTGGGCACTTCATGCTTGTTACGTGACAATGCTCATAACGGGCCTTGTAAAGAAGGAGTCTTTATGGCGGAGGCCTGGCATGATAAGGAAGTTGGCTGGAGCATTAAGGCCAGGACCAGGCTCCCACTAGGTCTAGATGGAGCTGAAGCACTGAACTTTCCCCAAGCCAGTCAATGAACGAGACAACACAGAGTCTTCCACAGCTCTTTGCTTACTGTGCCAAGGAAAACACAAGCAGCTGGTGAGAGTTGCATGGAGCTGTTGGCTCAGAGGGGGTGAGGAAATGTCAGGTGTTACTAGATTCTACCTTTCTCTGGATGCCCTGGGGACCAGAGTAAGCCCTGAACTGCTTGCTCCCTAACTCAAAGGTTTCTAACAGAGGGCGATTCTACCCTCCCAGGGACACTGGCAATGTCTGGAGATATTTTGCTGTTGTCACAACTTAGAGGAGAGGCCTCCTGAAATGCATGGGACACACTGTCTTCTCTGCTTTGAGCAAAGAATTATACAAGTCAAGATGTCAATAGTGCTGGGGTCGAGGACTTTCTGTTCTTGGTGACCCTGGATGGCTGCCTGGCTTGGCAAGATTGTCATTGGATGCCGAGGTTCCCCTGTAATAACATGGCCAGGTGTCTTTTCCATGAAACCACCCCCTGACCTACTCGGGTCTGAATTGCTTGAGCAAAATGCATCCGGTTGTGTGAGTCAGGAACATAATAAAGCAGAGACATCCCAGCCTGGAAACTATCCAAGCATTGTTGTAAATCATTGAGACCAGGAGCATTTGTAGGAGCGAGAGGAGCCAAGATACTTACAGCCAAGTGAGGTGATGCAAGTCTTTGAATGTCCCAGGCCTGAGAGCTGTAATGCAGTTATGGCTAAGATATCTGCAAACAGTATGGGTGAGTTCGTTAGGCAAACTCCACACCCCAGGCAGCCACACACAATTAGACAGATTCGATTTTGAAGTCTGGGTACCTGCTTCTACAAGCATGTTCTGAAGGAGCAGAAGCAGGGGTTGGAGAGACCAGGAGGTACCTAGAACTACAAGCCCAAGTTGGGTCACACTGTGACTAGGACAAGCAACGTGGCCAAGAACAACATTGGTGGGTATTACATTAGGTTGGATAGAAAGAAAGACAACTAAATATGTAGGGCAATTCTTACTTCTATCCTTTTTTGGTCATATTCTTAGTACGTTACTATTTTAAGAAGTGTATATTCCGTGAGCGATGGTAGGAGAAAAGTAAAATACTGAGATGCTAAGGAAGTGATTGAACAGCAAGAAGACAATATTAAAGAGAGAAACTTTGGGTAATTACTTATTCTTGTACAATGAAGAATTTGGGTGCTTTTTGTGGTACAGAGATGAAACTCAGGGCCTCTCATCTCACATGTTAGGCAAGTGCTCTGAGCTACACCCCAGCCTTAATATGAATACCTTATAGTCTTTTAAGATTTCTTCTACCCCCAACACCCTGATTCCACCTTTGTAGTCTTTTCTTCAAATGATACCCACACTATGCTTATGAAGAAGTTACTCACAGTATCTGTAGATTATATAATCCAAAAAATGCCTTCCTGGATATGTGTGTGATGCAATTGTGCTGGAGGTATCTGTAGGAACAAGGAGGGAAAGTCATGTGACTGCGGTATGAAAGTTAGGTGATTTCGGTATGCAGGCTTTCAGCTTAAATCGCTGTGTTACAAGCTTTTCCCTTTTTCTACTTAAAGGCAGTAGATGGCATGGATTATAAAGCACAAAGTTTTAATCATATGTTACAGGGAGACACAGTGGCTACAAAGCAGACAAGGTATGCAACAAGGGTTGGCCATCTGTGATCTGGACCACCGAAGTCTAATGGTGTGTGTGTGTGTGTGTGTGTGTGTGTGTGTGTGTGTGTGTTCTCATGAACAAAGGAGGAGCCCTTTGAGTCTTTGCTAGATGTAAAGCAAGAAGCAAGAGAATCAGCCACGAGCTCAGGATCCCAGCAGTTGCTGAACTCTGGCCGCCACGCTATGTCAACTTTCAGGCCTGTGAGTCACAAAACTTCGAAACACAGAATTGATTCAATAGCAGCAGTAACAACACTGTCAAGGGTTCAATGGAAAAAGCATACACTTTCTGCTCTCATTATGCAATAGGAAGTTAGCCTGAATCTGTACCTTCTGAAGTTAGCTGAGGCAAGAAACAGCCATACTAATAGTAGTGACTACTATGTAAGTGGGTTTTGTTTTTGATGTGTGTATGTGTGTGTGTTATTCTAAGGCTTGAACCCAGAGCCTTGTGTAGGCAAGTGCTTTACTACTGAATTATACTGCCAATCACTGCTCCATCTATGGTTTTGATGTCACTGGTTTCCACTTGAATTGATCCTTACAATGTCATACAAGGCTGTGCTAATTGTCACGGTGTTTCTGTAAAACCATGGGCAGACCATGTATGTGGTTGGTGTCTAACTAGACTTTGAATTTTATCCTGCTGCAATTATTCCCTATCAGAACATTCCAACTCTGGTAGTTTGAATATAATTAGCCCCCATAAACTCACAGGGAGTGGACTAGTGGGAGGTGTGGCCTTGTTGAAGGAAGTGTGCCAATGTGGGGACAGGCTTTGAGGTCTCTTTTGCTTAAGCTTTGTTTCAGTGTCAGACACTTCTGTTGCCTTTTGATCATGATGTAACCAGCACCGTGTCTGCCTGTATGCCGCCATGCTCCCACCATGATGACAATGGGCTAAATCTCTGAAGCAGTAAGCCAGCCTAATTAAATGTTTTCCTTTATAAGAGTTGCCATGGTCATGGTGTCTCTTCACAGCAATAGAACAGGGACTAAGATGCCAACCTTTGCTTAGAGTCATGAGTGTGTTACAAAAATGACAAGAGTTGAATGTCTTTATGCCTCAGGACAGTAAGGTGAAAAGCCAGGACCAGCTTCTAGTTTATTAGTCACCTCAGGGCAAAACCTACCACACTTCCATGCACACTCCCTCTCGGGAAAAGCTGCTGATCCAGGGCACCTGCATCACACCAGTGCCCACCTACAAAGCATCAATCCCAGTGCTGCAAAGGGAACTTGACTGGAAATGTGAGCTCGTGCGTCCTAATCCTTCCCTCTGACCCCGAATGCCCGATTGCTTCTTGCACTATGTCTGTGCGGAGACACGCGCAGCAGAAATCCCTCTTTGAGCTTATGATTATACCATGAATAGGACAGAGGGACATGTACCAGCATCTGTTTGAACATCAGAGGAGTGTTTGGACATAATGAAATAGAATATGGTGAACTGGGTTGCTAAACAAAGGGAAACAAATGAAGCATGTAATATGTTAGTAAAGACCTACTGGAGTCTCTCTTAAATATAAAATCCACTACTCAGTTAGGTCAGTTCCATTTTATTTGAGATGATGTTTAACCCTAGGGGACAGCACATGCTGTTCCTCCTTAGTGAAGAAATGGATGCCATTGCAAACTGTGAATGTGACCTTGTGCTTCCATATTAGAAGTCAAAGGAAAAAGACATTCAAACCGAGGACCTGTTAGAGTCCTCTGTCGCTGGCAACTGGTCACCTCTCACCAGCATCACCTACGAATACAGTTCCTTTAATAATGGAGAGGCCCTGGTCTTAGATTTAGCTGTTGGCTGTGTCTGCGGAGAGACTGCGAGTCTCGGGTCTCAAGTCTCAGGAGTAGACTGCCAAAATTAAGCCCTCTCCTTGGTGTCTACTTTCTTTTTCCAGAAGAACCATTTAGAGAACTTGAGGATGGAAACATGACAATTTGGCAAATGGTGCCTCTTTCTATTCCAAACCGAGACAGGAGTCCATTAAATGTATCTCACACTGAACAGCTTGTCTAGGAACAGCTTCCTGGATCACAAATCTCAGCGCTTTCAACTATCAAAGACCTTTCAAGCGAAACACCAGGGTCTTATGTACCAAACTAAAGCAAATAAATACCTTAATGACATGTGCACTCACATGCTATTTTTAAATGTGACATTATGTACTTTAGAGCCAGGCAGGCACCTTTAATTATGTTTCATTGCCAGTGATTGATTGCATTCAACAAGAACTCAGGTTAAGAAGAAATACCTAATTTTCATAAGGCTCGTGTTACAATGAGGAGGAGGATCGTTGTTGGTTTCCATGACAGCGATGATAAAACATTAGAGTCAATCCCATAAATTGTATTTTATTTCTTTGAAAGGTCATCTCAAACTACTTTTTTCTTCTTCTTCAACTGTAGAAAATCCTGGCACTCCAGGAGATTATTAAGATAACAAAATTGATCCACAGTAAAGGAAAATTTATATTCGTTGAGCAGTGTTCGTGCATCTGGCAATTAAAATGAAATTTTGATGTAGTAATTTTTTCTCTCCATGTCAGAATGACCGCAGCTCTACCATGAGGATTTAGACGGGTATAGACTGGAGACTCTGTAGACAGGAAGTTCTGTGCTGTCTCGGGGGTGACATGCTAATACACAGCAGTGGTCTCAGCAAGAAGGGTTAGTCTCTACCTTTGGGGCCCTGAGGAAATTCGGGAGCTGAATTATGCGTCTGTTTCCACACTCCTCATTCCAGTGGATAGCAGCTACCTCAGACAGGGATATGGACAGTAGAGGAGAAAGGAGTTGGCTAGAGATGCCCTATGTTGGGTTTTCTGTCTAAACAAGCTAATGATCTTCCTGCCTCCCTGGGTACTCATTTTTCTCCCCAGATGGACAAAAAGCACAGGATGGAATCATGCCCAGGACAAGACTGTATGTCTCAGCAGAAACTCTTGGACATACTAACCAATTTCTCTCCATCCGTGGGTTTTCATTGTGATGGTTAAGTATCACCATGTTCATCAGGAGCCCTGGCCTCTGGTTGTGATTCTCCTACTAGCTAATTATCTGAGTACCTTAACCTTTGTACACTTCAGCTGTCTCCTGTCTAAGGTAGTCTAATTAGAAATTCTTAACAACTTCTACGATACCCAATAATAGAATGTGTTAGAGTTTGGATTCTAAATGTCCCCCGAAGGTTTGCATCTCAGTTGTTGGGAGGGACATCGACTTTAAGAGATGCGGACCAGAGGGAGGCCTTCAGGTCACTGGGGCCACCCCCTTGAAGAGAAGAATGGGGCCCTAGCTTCTTTCTCATCTGTTTCCCGGTAAGGAGGTGCGTCCTTCATCTCATCGCATGATTCCAGAACAGGGCACCGAAACCTCCCAGCTGTGATCAATGAAACCTCTCCTCTCTAAAAATTGATCATCTCAGTTATTTTGCATACATAATGGAAAGCTGACTAAACAGAGGTTGGAAAACAAAATTCTTGTCATTATTTCTGTGATTGCTGTTACATTGCTTCTTTGGTGAAAATATTGTGCACGCAGGGCAAGCACAGCATTGATTGACAGAAGGAACAGGTGACTTTAAGAATCGCTGAGATGTAGAACCTTTGTGGTTCTGATTTCCTCTCTAGAGGGCCTAGGGCTGATGTGTAGCTATGCCAGTGTGGTGATGACAGTATGATCACACACTCTAGGATAAAGCAGAATGTACTGACGGTGTCTAGAGTTATGCAGATGATAACCAAAGCAGGTTAGATGATACTGCATAGCCACACACAGCTCTACCAGGTGGCCTTCCTCTAGGGATTTCGTCTTTAATTTCATGAATGTGGAATCACTGATAGTGTTTCCAGATACTTCTCTTTTATGCTAGGTGTTGAAGAATAAAACAAAAAACCATTTCTGCCATGGGCCCAGCATGTGCAACACCTCCTTTGCTGATATTGTTATTAGATTGATTATTACTCCTCTTGGTAGGTAGAGCATCTTCAGAGGCCCAGAGGAATTCAGCTTGGAAGGACTGGTAGACAATCACCCAAACTACAATACACTACCAGTCTGTGAGTTTTCTATCCACAAATATCAGTAGGAGGTATCATGTTGACTAGTAGAAATATTCTTATTCTCTACTCAATGTGACTCTTTAAATAATCTTGTGTGAATATCTGAAGTAGGTTAATGAGGAGCTGGAGAGATGTCAGAGTGGATAAGAACTCTAGTTGCTCTTCGGGAGGACCCATGTTCAGTTCCCAGCACCCAACCATCTGTGACTCAAGTTACAAGAGATCTGATGCCCTCTTCTGGCCTCTGCAGACACTGTATGCATTTGGTGCATGTAGACACAGGCAGGCAAAAGTCTCTTACACACAAAATAAAATATTTTTAAAAGGTAAAGTGATGCCAAGTGGTGGTGGTGGTGGTGATGGTGCACGCACACGCCTTTAATCCCAGCCCTCGGGAGGCATAAGCAGTTGGATCTCTGTGAGTTCAAGGCCAGCTTGATCTACAGAGTGAGTTCCAGACCAGCTAGATCTGTTACGCAGAAAAACCCTGTCTCTCAATCCTCCCCCCCACCAAAAAAAAAGTAAAGTGATGATTATGGGATTGCTTTGTGAGGAAAGAATTAAGCAAAGGCATTTGAGTCATTGTCACGTGATATAGTTCAGGGACCTGGGGTGGAGATTATGAGCTTACCATTGTGCTCATAACTACCAGTTCCAGGTCTCAGTTATTCTTTCTCTGGGATGCTAGAAGCATACAGTCTCTTTCTTCCTCACTGAATATGTTTTATGTTTTACTTACACACTAGTCATTGATGTATTCTCGCTTCAAATATATTAACACCATCATCATTGTCATCATCATCATCATCAGTTTTTGCTCCTATTATCCTAGAATTCAGGCTGTACCCTGTTTACATGTTTTAACTGCAATGGCTACTCTTACCTACGCTTTCACTGTTTTTTCAAATTAAAGGTCACATCCAGCCCTTCTAATCCTGCAGTCATTCCCAAATAATATTAAGGAAAGACTTGGAACTATGTATTGAGATAGTTTACTCCAAGTCGAAGTCAATCCCCTGAGAATGGTTCAGTGAAACCATCCTCTAAACTATGAAATGAGAACACCTCCTTTTCAGTACTTTGCTTTCTAATCATGGGTTTGAGGCCAGATTTAGCAATACCTATAAAAACTATTCAACTTTGTTCTCAGATCAAAAGTGCCTTAAAACATCACAAGCATGTCCCCATAAACCTACTATTTATCGTTACTTACATCTTTTCAAGTTCTGTGTATTTGCTGAAAACTTTGACTGGAAGTCTGTGAATTTTGTTTTTCTTAAGAGATCTGAAATAAAAAACAAAAAATTTTTTTTGTTACTTTGGGACAAATTTTCATGTGTCCCACTATGTAGCCCAGGCTAGCCCAGTCTTGTCTTGGTCTCCATCCTCCCTCCTTGGCCAGTTGGGTATGATGATTTCACTGCCTCCCTTAATCTCCGGATAAGTAAATAAAACATAAGAACAAGTAAATGCCAAGACAACAGGAGGTCCCAACCACCTCATCCACGCTAGATGAAGGCACAGCTGCAGAAGATCCCTACTCTCTCAGACATGCCGGATGAGGACATGACTACAGATTTCTGACCTGCAATATTTTTTATGCAAAATTCAGGAGAGCTGGCATGATCTTGGACAGCTAACTTTTTGGATCTTTCTATCTTTGCAGTCTTAGAAGGATTGTCAGCTTTAAAAACAAAATGACTTAAATCTGCTCCCTTCTCTTCAGCAGCAGGGCCACAGCAGTAACAGTAAAAAAGTCAGAGCACAGTGGAAAAGCACTTGAGGCCAGAGACAGACATCATGAGGTGAACGTTAACCAGGCTTATCTTGGAGATCATATTTAAAATGTATTTTCCTGAAGATGAAGCATGTCAACCTTATTGGTGACTGCTTTTAGAAGTAGTTCCAGGGTCTGGAGAGATGGCTCAGTGCTGAAGAGCACTGGCTGCTCTTGCAGAGGACCTGGATTTGATTCCCAGCATCTGCATAGTAGCTCACCACCCTCTTTTACTGTAGTTTCAGGGTTTCCGATGCCCTCTTCTGACCATTATGGGTACTGCACACATGTGGTACACATATATCCATGCAGACAACAATTATGTACATAAAATACAAATAAATAAATCTTTTAAAAAGTGCTTTTGATTTTTTGCTTATTTGATTACCTATAATTTATCATTATGGCACTACAGAATTTTCCATGGGTTTTTGTGTGAGTTTAGGTACAAATAAATATGTGTAGCACACTCACAGTAATGTCACATTGCTAGAAACCTTTGGCACAGCTTTTAAGTCAGCTTTTATGCATTCCAGTTCATTTTCTCTACAGTAACAGTGCTGTGGATACTGGTTGAGAACTAGAGAGAAAAGACAAAAAATTGTATCAGAAAACAAACAAACAAAAAAGCCAACACATTTATTTATGAAAACAATTGACAATTTTCTAATCAATGCCATAACAATTTATATCAATTAACAAACCCCCTGATCCCTTCATAAAAGCAAATAAGAATTCTCTTCAAATCAAGTATAGACCCACAGGGTGTTCCTCTCATCTCTAGCTTCTTCCTGCAGTCATCTCAAAGACATTTAACATTTCAAAGAGCAGGAAGAAACCACAGGTGTAAACAAGTAAGATCAGACATGCACTGAAACAAGATAAAGTTCTGTTCAGTGAAAAGCATCCTTTGTTTGAGTAAGTCTCCATGGTGATGGCTGGACCAATTCAACTCAATAGTATGAAGTAGTTACTAAATGAATGCTTACTGATTTGACCTTAGTTTGTAGGTCATGTGGGATATGGGATGGAAGATCAGAGAAAGATGGAGAGGATTTTAATGCAATCTTTAATTTCTCCACTGACCCTATGGATATTTGATTTGGTTCAGTAAAGAAAGTGAAAGTTAATTTCTATTATTATTATTATAGTTAATTAGTGAACTGTTTTGATACAGGGTCTTGCTCTGCAGTACATTACCTTCTGCCTTGATCTGCTGAGTGATGGTATTCAATGCATGTGCTGTGGTGTGGACCCAGCCTATAACTAATATGCACTGAACTGTGAGTATAAATTCTTTCTAATTGGCCGTCCTTTTTTTGCATCGCGTTTAAAGTTAATTTGGCATTTTGGCAGCAAAGCCACCACAGCTATTCCTGGATCCCCAGTTCATGCAAGAGATGGCTTCAGTGCATAACATTCTGGATAATATTATGTGGTCTGCATGATGATTAGCTCAGCCCACTAAAGATAACACTAATGTGTTTTGTTTAATGTTTATTGACATCAGGAATATTATGGCCACATTACTGGAGTGAAGGTTGTGATCAAAAAGTACTCGGCAATAAAGGAATTTCGTATGGTCAAGGTGGGTATGCAGAGACACGATGGGGCTGAGTGGTTCAAGCAGCAATGGCTCAGTGGCTGAGAGCACCGACAGCTCTTGCAGAGGTCCTGGGCTCAGTTCCCAGCACCCACATAGTGGCTCACAACCATCTGTAACTCCGTTTCTAGGGGATCTGGTATCCTCTTCTGGCCTCCTCAGGCAGCAAACAGGCACGCAGCACAAAAACAGGCATGCAGGCAAAATGCAAGCATAAAAATAAAAATAAATAAATCCTTCAGAAGGCAGAAATACGTGCCTTTCTCCATCCTCCCTGTCCTGCCACCACCCTCTTCTGAGGACGGTCCTGACAGGTCCTTCCCATCTCCTTCCACCTCACTCACCCCAAGACATTTCTTGAGCTCGGACTCCTAGCCTTTGTCTGCACTCGATGTTGCAATAGTGGGCATCATCTTCATTCTTCCTGCTCACTTGGCACAGTGATGGTTTTGGCCCAGATCCCTTTTGGTTGTGGATTTGTCCCGTACCAATTGACAAGGCTCTGCAGTGTCCCTGTCCAGGCTTCATGACCTACCTGCCAGGAGCTACCCATCCTCCTCATCCAAGAATTGTGACAGTCAAGGGTTCCCCCATCTAAGGTTTCCTTCTCTCAGCTGTGGTCTGCCTCTGTAGGGGCCCAATTCAAACATCTTGTCTGTGCTGAGCTTTCCCTCTTTACAGCTAAAAACTAAGACACAAAAACAAAGACCCAACCCAGTCAAACACACAGAAAAGCCCTAACTTTGGTGATTTGATTTCCCAGTGGGTATGAAGTGAGCTCCTGAACTAGACATATTAGGAGAGTGTTAGAATTTTCAGTTATGTCTTACTAATCTTGTCACTTCTAAATTAGATTTTTCTGGGTTGCTTTGTTTTGTCAAGCAGTGAAAACTTTAAAAAAGTGTCTCAACAAGGCAAAACTTTTGTCTTGCTAAGCGGATGTACTGGGAAGAGCAAGCCTATGGGGCAGGAAGTGACTGGCTTTTGTTCCCACACAGGTGACTGTGACTTTACCCATGCCTGGGGTCCTGGCTTCATGGTCTCTCATGATTGGCTAGTTTTCAAAGAATGGGCTCAAAGAAAAAGAAGGGAGAAGGGGGTCAGCCACCTTAGCTCAAGAATGTTACAAGGCCTTTGTGTAAACAAAGGTTTTGCAGGGTGTGTGTGTGTGGGGGGTGATGGTGATTAAGACATTTGCATACATGGTAAGGCAGATGAAAGGATTTGAATTCCTGTCTTAAACTCAGGAGAAAAGACTCATTTAATAGCCTCACCAATCCCTCCTCTTTTAAACAGTTTTTTTCCTTCGAACCCAGTGAGATGCAGGCTCCTTTCTTCTGTCCTATCTTGGAGTAAGAAACTACTAGAGTGTGGGGCACCAGTTTAGTAACAGCTGGCTCAAGAAGCCTGGGTTAGACCCTTAGGACAAACAGTGAATTACTGCATCTCTTCCACCAGCACAGGTTAGGGTGAGCCCCCTCCTTGTGAGTGGTCCCTTGGCTAGGAGGTTGACCTGACCCACTGGAATTTGAGGCCTGCACCAGGCCAGAGACTTCATTCTCTGGAGCAGAGGTTTCTCTTAAGAGGCCTCCTTTCTACTTTAACATTCCTTCCCCCAGAGACTGTGGAATCCTCTAGGAGCCAGATCAGAGATTAGAGCACCCCAAACACTTTTGCATCTTTGGCCTCTGTCAAGGATGAAGTTACCAAGGCTTCATGAGTCCCAAGGACATTTCTGGCTTTTAGCCAAGAAAGAAACTGGTCATTTTCTTTGGGGTCTTTACCCTAAATTGCCTAGGCAATTTCTATCTCAAGCTATAAAACATTTCCTTTATTATTATTATTATTATTATTATTATTATTAGTGTGTGTGTGTGTGTGTGTGTGTGTGTGTGTGTGTGTGTATCTATGTGCCCCACATGTATGATGTGGGCCTGAAGAGGGTGTCAGATCCCCTTAGTTACAGATGGTTGTGAGCCACCATGTGGATGCTGGGTACTAAACCCAGGTCCTCTGCAAGAACAGCCAATGCTCTTAACCAATAAGCCCCAATTTTTCTTTTACCTTTGGATACATGGACTCACTACACAGTCCAAGTTGGTTTTGAACTCAGGATCCTCCAGCCTCAGATTCTTGATTGCATACCATCATATCTACCTTAGTTTCATTTTTACAGATTATGCATTCATGTATAAGTATATGAGCTATGAACTGTATTATGAAGTGCACACTGCAGTCTTTCTCAGGTATGGAATGGGGACTGTGTTCAGGGCCCTCATGATACCTAAATTCACAGATGTTCAAGTCCTTTCTAAAAGTGATGCAGTATTCACATAGAACTTGCATGCAAACTCCTCATCCTTTAGTGTATCTCTAGAGGCTTCAGGACACTGATAATAATGTGAATTCTGATGATATAGTTGTTACACCATATACATATTTTATATTGTTATATGATTATAACAGTACATAACAATATAGAATAATATACATTAGTACTAATGAAATTTTTTGTACAAGTTCAGCACAGATAGTTTTTATCAGACTATTACTGATTTGTCCTTGGTTTAATGCACAGTTGTGTAACCCCTGCATGAGGGCATTGACTATACACTGTTAGTTAAGAGTTTTGTTGTTGTTTTTTTGTTTGTTTGTTTTTGAGACAGGGTCCCACTGTGTGGTCCTGGTTATCTTGGAACTCACAGAAATTGCCTTCTCCTGCCTCCCAGAGTGCTGGGATTAAAGGTGTGCACAACCATGCTAAATGTTAGCATAGTATTTAATATATGCACAATACACACATAAATGAAATTTATGGATACTAACATATATCAACATATATATTCATCTATAATGTACACACACACACACACACACACACACACACACACACGCACGCACACACAAACGACTCCACCGGCAGTACAGAGGCTGGCCTCTATAGTGTGTGCCCCAAACCCTCTAAGGGCATGCTGCATGCAGCCTCCTGAATCCAGTTCCACCCTCCCAGCTCATGCTTGTAGAATCTTAGCACACTTGTGCAAAGGCATTGTGCAACCTGTATTGGACAGCTACCTCACCTCTTAGTAGCCTTGTTCACCTGTTACCTCTCTGTTTCCATTCAGGGACTTCACAATGCCCCCCACCTGCCGCCAATGCATTGCTTGGGAGAATATTCCCATTCCTGGCAGAGCCCTCATTTCTTACAGTGGTCTCCCATGCCTCCCTGTGCAGAAGGGAATCACCACAGCTTAGTGAGAATGTCTTCCCAGTTACACATGCGCTATTTGTGAGTTGGGAACACACCTTAATCAACACCGTACTTCCTGTGTCTGGAACATAGTATGAGCTCTTTGTTGAAATGAAATCAAAGGAAATAGAACTTTGTTATTTGTCACCATTATTGATTATCTATGTATTCCCATGATTGATCCAGTGACACAAGAAATGGGCATGCATGGACATGGGTCTATTCTCCCATTTTTTCCTCAGACCCACAGGCAGACAGAAGAATGATAACCAGTGAAATACATTGAAACGAAGTTGACTTTCTGAAGGCAACTGAGCCACTACAGCAGTCCCCCCTTATCCACAGGGGACACATTCCAAGAGCCCAGTGGATGCTTGAAACCAGAGATAACACCAAATCCTGTATTTCCTGATTCCCCTATGTCTACATGCCTCTGTAAAAGTTCCATTTGTAAATCAGGTCAATGAGATTAAGGGTAACTTATAACTTAATAGAGAAATCACAATAATACACCATGACCAATGGTATGCGAATGCGGTCTGCCTGTCTCAAGGCATCATCATCATCATCATCATCATCGTTCTTGTGAGCTGGAGCCCCAGCCCTGAAAATGTTCATTTACTGTTTTGGGACCGCAGTTGACGGCCGTTCGTTGAAACTATTGACAGCAAAACCTTAGATAAGAGGAGACTGCTGTTCCCGGATAAATCCACGCACCACAATCACATTTTTGTTTTTGTTTTTGTTTTTTTTGCAAAGCCGATACCGTCTTTGAACCGACACCACTTACAGCACTCCTGTGTTAATGTCACTTTATTGACATTTCCATGGACTGTGCCAAATATGGTCGCCCATCCACTAGTGTCACCTGTGGGGTGGTGATTGATACGCATCAGTTAGTCTAGAAATCAGACAGCATACCACAAGACAAAGATATAAAAATTTCACGAAATCAAACCAGAAAAAAAAACCTGGTCAAGCAACAGAGTGACTGTTTTCTTTTTTAAATATGAAGATAGCAGGAGAGAGTTAAACAGACACGTGTGGGCATTTCACCCACAAGGATTGCAGATGTACGCTTCACAACGAATGCAATGCAAACATTATGTTATGCAATCCTAAGTGTCTTGGTGAATAGTAGCCATTTCTAATGCTGACATTTTGAATCTTCGACTTGGATTTTGGGAGTTTCACAAGACTACTACGGGAGGGCCTTGTGTAGTGGGTACTGAGTTCTGATAAAATTGGGTCTTCTTTACTTTTCTTTGTCCCTGAACACTGAGTCCAGGGTCTCATACACTCTCAGCATGGGCTCTGTCACTTCTTGCCAGATTTTATTTTTAAAGAAAGCAAAAACTGAAATACCTTTTAATAAATAATGTCAAATCCTTTTGAGAGAAATGACAGTGCCTTGGTTTCTCATGGCTTAATGTCAGTTTATCATTTTCTATTGTGATATTCTTACTTGACAATTCTTTTATATCATAAAAATCACATATGAATAATGTATATGTACATATTTACAAAAATGGGCCTCTTTTGAAGCATCCTTAACTGAGTATGTGCTATAAGAGTAGTAAGATTTGCATTGTAATAGGTGGCATCAATCTCCACACAAATGAAAAAGTAAATTCACACAGTCAGTTGCAGGTTCCTTTGATTCCTGATATCTATCATTTATCTTTGCTCCCTTTTCAAGTCCTGAATGCCACTATCATGATATTATAAGGTATTCTGTGTGCATTGTTCACTTTGGGTTCAGAACATCCTTGTCGGGCAGAGAAATGGGAGTGATCCTTGATTCCCATGTAGCAAAAAAGAGCTCTCTTGGAGTAACTTGCTCATTGACAATCAGAGAACTGCCTCTAAACTGAGCATGGACTGAGCGCCTACTGAGTACGCTCCTATCCTATCCTGGTGGTAGCAAAGATTGGCCTTTTCTCAGGGTGCTCACGTTTGCCCAGAGAAAAGTAACGCACAGACAGGACTCTACATGGCAGGAGGCTTGCCCACAGGGATGCCTGTGCAGCCCACTTCGAGGGGGAGGGACCCCTGAACAGAGTCTTTCTTTTGTTTGTCTGTTAGTTGTTCTGGATTGAGCCTAGTACCTCCTCCTGCATACTAGGCAAGCATTCTCGCCTGAGCTGCACCCCCACACCTCTGAACTGAGTGTGAAGGGAGGAACAGGCAGGAGTGTTCTGTGGAAAGGTGTTGGGGTCATTTCCCGTCCAAGGGAAGGGGGCATGATGTACTCAGGGGTGGGCAAGGCAGCTGCTTGGCCCTCCAGGACACGGCTATCCCATTTAGGTGCTGGCTGGCCAGTGCTGAAGAGAGCTGGCCTGGTGTGGCATACTATACTAGGAAGGTATGAGCTCCAGCATTGACTGTGACTAAGTTGACGTGTCAACCTCTCTGACATTCTCCTCATGGGAAAATATGCAGATTAGATCAGGCAAGATATATGGTCTCAGCACATGGCCCTTAACTTGGCCTGGGAGACCCCTAGTAATGAACTGTGTAATCTCTTCACATTTGTGTGCTTGTGGGCTTTGCTCAAGCCCCATTGCTTTTGCAAGACTGACTCTATTTCACCTTATTTCAGTCAGCTCCAGGGTCTTTTATTTCCTATGCCTGGAATTCTATGCCTGCAGAATCTCCCTCCCTCCCTCCCTCCTTTATTCCTTTTATTTTGTTCTCAATTTAAGTCAATTTAATTTAATTTTTCCTTGATTCTCTCCTTCAAGTGAATTTCCAAGATGTTTTTCTGTCTCTTTATTTTTTTGCAACTCATGATCCTTTTCCCTCCGGATGTTATCTATGCACAGCGTTATTGTTTTCCTAGTCCATGTTGTCCCATGAGCTCAAGGCCCTTATTGCCTCCTTGCTTCTTTTGAGTTCACTGTGTCTCAGTGATGTGGGGAGGTCCTGGCCCATAGGTGACATGTAAGGTCAGTCAGCATGATCAATTAGTTCTCTGGGCGAACCCAATGGCAGCTTATAGATATTCTTAAAGCTGAACAAAGTTATTGGCTACGAGGAAGCCTCTTAAAACTGAATTATGAGAAGCAGAGTACAATTTAGAATACCATTTCAGTTTTTATGGGACCATCTTTTTTACTTTAGCAAGTTCTGTATCCTAAAATTCAGGTCATTAGCCTGAATGCAATGGATTATTAGACCATTCCTCCCAGTCCCGCGCTCACGGGCTGACCCACCGTTTGGGGGACACATGTGTTAAGGTAGGTGTGTGGAGCACAGGAGGGGGCAGGACTCACCACAGTTGTCCTCGTCGGCACCGTTCTCACAGTCATCCACGCCATCACAGTGAAAGGCTCTGGGCAAGCACTTGGTGAGATTCCCACAAGGAAAATACCCTTTTTGGCACAGAGGAGCCACCATACTGCTGTCAGCCAGTACAAAGTCTACATGAGAGATGAGACAGGGCAGATACAAAAATTCTATGTAAGAGAAACCAAATGTGAATGCATCTAGACCTTGCCGGCAGGGTTCCATTTAGTGTGATAAGAATTCCACCAGGCTGGTTCATCCGGTGTCATTCTTAGAGCCCCAACATGGACCAACACTGCCAGTAACCACAGTCTAACCTAACATTAGCCATACACTGGGTGAGATGAAGACCCATTTTGCCTTTTCATTCAGGGAGGTAATGCAAAGAAAGCTAGACATGTTGCATGGAGTTGGGGAGGTATCTACTGCTTGAGACAGAGGGTAAAACCGTGCTTAAATAGGAGCAAATAAATCGATTTATGCGACTGTTAATTTTTTTCATAAGAACGACTTAAGGTGACCTAATACATATGCAGAAGGACTGTTTAAATGGGAGCTTGAGAGGGAGAGTGTCTGACCTTCGTTAAAATAAGGCACGACAACCCTAGCAGTCTTCTCTCACATTAAGGAGTTAGTGAGTGCCATCACTCTGCTGGGTAAATTATCTCCTTTTCTCTTCACTTCCCTTAGAGCAGTGCCTCTCAGCCTTCCTGATGCTGCTGCGACCCTTTAACACAGCTCCTCATGCTGTGGTGATGCCAAGCTATAACATTATTTTCGTTGCTACTTCATAATTGTAATTTTGCTTCTGTTGTGAGTCATAATCTAAATACCTGTGTTTTCCAATGGTCCTAGGCAACCCTACCCTGAGCCATGAAAGGGTCTTTAACCCCCAAAGGGGTCACAACCCACAGGTTGAGAATCACTGCATTAGAGTGTGGCAGGTGTAATATCTTTCTGCGTGTCTTGGCAGAGGGTAAACTAGGCACCTTGTCTGGGGTTGTCACCTGGGTGACTGGGCTAAAGTCTCGTTCCACCGTCTGGTTCCCAGGGCTACCGAGAACCACTATGCTGGGAGAGAACTGATCCATTCTGGAATCTGCCTTTCAAAGAGTAGAAGTCATTTATGAAGACAAATTACAAATCATTGTCTTGGGCAGAGGGCATAACACATGAACAATCGCTGAAGCGAAGTCTAGTTGAACAGAAGGGTATAAACCGGAAGCCCAGTGGCCATTTACAAGGCACAGGGAACAGGGTACGCGAAGCAATCCCAGACAAATTCGAGTTTAAGAGCACGCCTTCCAACAAGATAGACATACTTTTTATACATCGGCTGATAAAACTGTGGAAGTCTTGAGGTCAAGCTGAAACTTCACAACATTTCCAGAAGTCTGTGCCATGTGTTTAAATGGCATTCATCTCCTCTCAGATCCCCCTCCCTTCCCGCCCAACTCTGTGTCCTCCTTTTTGTTTAAACCCATCAAGTCCATTCGCACTGCCTGTGTAGCCTTGGGAGATTTCAAGGGAGGGGAGAGAGAATGAAATGCTATAAAGGGTGAAGGGCGGGTAATGGGAAAGGTTTAAGTGGGATGAGGGGCAGGAGGGCAGGGTAGAGGAGGAGGGAGTAGAGGTAGGGGTAACCTGAAGGCCTTTCGAGAAAGTCGTATAGAAACCTATGACTGAAACACATATGTACACATGTATAAAGAGTTTAAATGGCCGGGCGATGGTGGCGCACGCCTTTAATCCCAGCACTCGGGAGGCAGAGGCAGGCGGATCTCTGTGAGTTCGAGGCTGGGCTGGACCTATAGCCTCCGAAACAATACAGAGAAACCCTGTCTCGTAAAAACCAAAAAAAAAAAAAAAGAGGTTAAATGGTTCACACCATAACAGAGCAACAGCATCCCCACTAGACACCGCAAATAAGTGCACAAATAAAAAGTCCAAATGAAAATGTCACAAGCATAAAGAACCCATTTATTGTGCCTTTTTGAATGGATTGGGAGAGGTTTTGGCCAAGTGGTCCCAACAATGATGTCACCATCATGACCACGAAGATATTCGGGGTAGTGAAGAGAACAATGGGTTTTAATAGGATATAGCTGGACTTGCCATCATGAGGGTCATCTGCTGTGTGTTGGATATTTCTTCATTATCTCATTGAATGCTAAAGGCAATGCAGTCACTGGCATTATGATCACTATGGAAAGATGCTCTTATCTGGGTCGGGGAAACACCAGTGGATGCTGCCTTGCACAGAGATTGTGTCCCACAAACGTTTTTGGAGACTTCCCTGCTGGTCCTCCTTGTTCACGAAGCTCTGTCTGTTAACAGGCAGGTGTTTGGTTGTGGGCACACAGCCTGTGTGACTCAGTGCACACACTCAGCTTCCAAGGCCATCTTTGGAAAGGACGGTTGGTTTCTGTGAACTTTAAGCTTGTTAGTCGAGGTGACCCTGGAGATGGTGCACAAAACAGGGCAGCTGGTCTTCCCTGGGGATAGTGATGTCACGGAGCACTCCTGGAGGCTCTCACAGATGCACCTTCTGGAACTTTCCCAATCGAGGAGGCCAATCTTGAGTGTGACCAGAGGATGTCAGTTGTTGGTGGGGATGGGGGTGTGGGAGGGGAGGGAGGGACAAAAGAAGCAGAGGAGAGAGGCTGAACACAAGTGACTCCAACTGTTAGTTACATCTGTCAAGAGCTCCCATTTCTCATTCTGCGGTGGCTTCTTCCTGGGATATTTCAAGCATAACCGGGATATAGAAAGAAAACAACGACTGAATTCAACTCCTCCTTCTCTGTCCTCTGTCTCCTTCATGTCTGATATTACTTGGTGCTCAATTAACTTTTTAAAAAATAAATTCCTATTGGGGTTGAAAAAGGAAAGGGTCCCTTTCAAAATTAACCTTTCTGAAGTTGTGGGCTCCCGTTTAAATTCTGATGGAATAAAATTCAGTGTTCTATGTACCCTACTTATCATTCTGCCCCATAATCATGAAATTTAAATAATAATTAAGGGTCCCTGCTGTGTTTGGCACATCCTGAAGGGGACCCACTGGCCATCTGTGGGAGGCGTATTCCACAGTCTGTGGCTCCTGTCAGCTGCGGAAGTGGAGCGAGGCAGTTTTATTGAAATTCAGGGACTGTAAAAGTGGAGGCTGCCAACATCAAAGCAAAACTGGTAGCTTCCAGAGGTTTCCACGGGCCCCTTTGGCAAAACTCACAGCAGAGGGGCGATTTGGGCTTATGAAAGGAAACTGCTGTCACAGTCCCTGCTAAGTCTAGCCAGTACTCCAGACATGGCTATGCACTGGCATCAGACAATGGTTCTGCAGCTGCCTTTTGGAGCCAGCTGGACTGGCACCCAAAGATGCTTTTGGTTTCCAGTCAACACTTTTCCTGGGCTACTGAGAAGCGACGTCCTAGGAGGACGGTTTAGGTTTCCCCGTAAAAATCATTAGAGGGGGCCAGGTCCCTGCCCTGATTATCTGACAGCTGTAGCACTAAATAGAACTGAGGGAAGCCCACAAAAACTGGGGGAAGAACTGAGTGAGGTTCTCCTGAAGAACCAGCCTGCCTCCATCTTGGGCTGGAAAGTTTATTATAGTAAAGACAAACTAGGTTCATCCTGTTTATGATTAAACCTGTTTCTCAAGGACTGGGCTATTCCCCACCTGTAACCTTAACTACAAATGCCTGTTCTAGGAATGACAATCATGTCTTTGTTTCAAAAAGTTGTAATGGCCATCCTGCAAACCTACCTTTGTTTCAAAAGGTTATGACTACCTTGACAATCTGTTGCTACGACTACCTTGTTCCGACCATCCTGCAATCAGCTTTTAGTTCCAGGACGTGGTTATACCTAACTTGTTCTGCTCCTGTAACCCCACCTATTTTGTCCACCAACTCCTCCATTTGGAAACCGATGACTCCTGAGCCTTGTTTTCCACACAGCCAGTGCTGACCTCTCGGACCCTGCCTCAGGGGGAAGCAGCCCTTGCACGGAAATAAAAAGACTTGCTTTAAGTAATTGCTTTAAGTAAGTGTTTTATTTAAATTGGCCAGGATGATTTGGGTCATTGGTCTTTCTCCTCCCATCTTTGGGAGTAACACTCTCTCCACACCAGTGCCAGAGAGGATGTTCTACAGAGGTGACTGGCTGAGGAGACCTAGGTAAGCTCCCCTCCATGAGGGTGATACTGTCACCGAGGGAGGTCATGGAGCTGCAGGAATATAGCGGACGTCACAGGCAAAACCTTTGCCATGCATTTAAGAGTTAACTATTGGAACATCCAGGAGATGCTAACTGGTTGCCAGTCAACAAGACAGGCACTGCTGCCCTCTCTGGGCATTCCATATAAGTGGGACACAGAAGCATCTGGGCAGCCCCCACTGGATTGGTACACTTTCTGGAAGCCACCCTATTCCTGGGAAGAGTCAGGATGTCTCTAAAAGCATTGTTTAGAGTCCAGGCCAACTAAAAACTCACAATTCTCCGGCAAGCCAACCTATCCCTGTGAAGAGTCAGGACGTCTCTAAGAGCATTGTTTAGAGTCCAGGCCGACCACAAACTCACAATTCTCCTGAGGTAGCCTCGTGGGTGCTGAGGTTACAAGCCTGCATCATCATGCCTGTCAGGCTGTGTTCTAGTGTTTAAAATATCCATCTTGTTCAGTGTGATTGCAGAGTCTTCTTTCTTTCCGGAAGCAGCCTGAGAACGATGAACTCAGAGAATGCCCAGTGGGTGGGTGAAGGGCAGAGGAGCAGGCAGGGTGTGAAGGTGACAGACCCGGGTAACACTGGGACCTCTGTCTCATGTCTTGCTCCTCAAATTCTGTGGTGTGGATTTCCCTGTCTCCTAGAACTGTCATCAGCCGCACTGCCTCTGAGCAGGATTCATCCACATCCCTCGACTGTCAGCTCACAGAGTCACCCGCACCCAGGGCTCCTGCCAGGTACCTGATCAGGATGTACCTTGCACAAATGTAGGGAAGGTACCCCTCACATAGGCTGTCTGTGCTGAGCCCTTTGAAGGTCGAAAGGTCATGGACCAGGATCAAGGATGATGCCTGAAGGATGAGAGCCTCCCCACTTGCTCACTGTAAAGTCCCCCATGTGGAATATCCCTT